TTGTCATAGGTACCATGGACGTATGTGTGTCACCTTTCTTCATTGAAAATCCGACGAGAAATAAAGAAAAATAAACTAAATAAAAAGATCCCTCTGCCCTGCAACTCTGATCTACATCTACTTCTCGAGCCAAAAAGGGGTAGTGTGGGTGGGACATACGTCCATGGTACCTATGACAATGTGAATAGGTCGTCCTTCGTAGACCATTCAGTAGACCATTGTCTACGGTACCATGTCCGTATGTGGCTCCAGAGGGATCGCCAAAGAGAATTAAACTAAAACAAAACTAAAACTAAAAGAAAACTGAACGAAATGAACAACTAACTAAAGAAATCTAGCCTAGAGTGCTCATGGACATGTTGTTGGAGGTGGCACTCGACAAACGGTAGTGCTTCTCGAAGACTTTCGGGGACGACCAATTCCCTTGCACCATGATATCAGCCACTGGTACGCCTGCTATAGCCGCGAGCGTAGAACCTAAGGCTCGGAGCTTAGGAGCTTTCTTGTCTCCTAAATCCATCAGCGAAGAAATCCTACCCATGTGGGAGCCAATAGTAGTCGCACGCGCCGGCTAGGTGTGGTCTTTCACAAATCTAATCAAAGGTACAATGCTTCTTGTTGGGTCCTTCGGATGAAGAGAGGTAGTGGAAGGACAAGACAGCCTGTCCAGGTAAGCGGTGTATGCGTCGACAGGGCATAGCTTCTTGTCAAAGTGAGAACCAATGGTCACATGCTTAATGATACGTTGTCCATCACTCTTCTCTTTTGGGAAAACAACAACAAGCTGAAGCTTCCCTAACACAATCTTTGAGAGACTGACATCTACACATCTGATGTCGTCTGGTCTCATGAAGCCACAGACGCCTAAGAGCCAACACAGCTTCCATGTAAGCTCCTCAAAAGGCAACTCCATATTTGCTGATGACTGCCGAAAATGGTCCAAAACAGGTGTGATGTCAAAGTGACCAGGCCTGGACTCAACGACACCTTCTTGCTTACCAGCCTTGAGGAACTGGCGGTAGTATTCATCTGATCGTACTCTCTCTGGGTCACGAAATAGGGCGAGGACAGCCGACTTCATGGTCATCAGCGTGGACCACTTCAAATTGCGAGCGACCCGCACGTAGTGTAGCCAGTTCACTACTGGGATCGCGGGGTTAATCCCTTGTTCGAACGAGCCCTCTTTCAGCCAAGTGACGAATTCAGCTTGATGCTTTTCGTACTCTCGCTTGGTGCTCTTGGATCCTTTGTGAGCACAGATAAACTCAGTCACCGCTGGCGAGAGGCCATCTATGAGCATCCTCGTCCTCTTACTCTCCACGCGGTAAGGCCCCAGTGTGGATTCTTGAGCAGGATGTGCGCGTCGCTTCCTGGTGGAGGAAGAACACATGTTCGTGGAATCGGTAAAGGGGGTTGGGTCGCCATTGCCTGTATCTTCGGGAACCAAATCGCCGATGGCCAAAATGGAGTAATTATGGTCGCTTCCAGGCCTTCCTGGTCTAGCTTCTGCAGGATCCTTGGAAGTAAGTTCCATGGAGGACAGATGTAAAGGTTGCCCAAGTGGCTCCACTTGTGTCTCAGCGCATCGAAGTCCACTGCCAAAGGATGAGGTTTCCATGTCATGAACCGAGGAAGCTGGTTGTTGCTGGGCGATGCAAAGAGATCTATCCGATGAGGCCCCCACTGCTGGTCTAGACGACGGAAAAATGACGGGTCCAACCTCCATTCGAGCTGCGCTTGCATCCGGCGTGATGGTGCATCTGCTGGATTGAATACTGAAGGTACATATGTGGCCCTGAGTCTTGTGCCTGTTGCTAGACAATGCTTCCATATTTTGTCCGCCAGGTCCATCAGAGGTTGTGAACGAGTTCCGCCAAACCGGTTGATGTAAGCGATGGTGGTTGTGTTGTCGATTACTAGGTTGAGCATCCTCCCTTGTGTTTGCGGTAGAGTGACTGCGTAGTACACGGTTAGTAACTCTTTTAAATTGATGTGTTGGTGGCGTATGTTTGGTGGCAATAGCCCTGTCCAAGTGCGCTGTCCTATGACGATCCCCCAGCCTTGGTCGGAGGCGTCTGTGTACACGTCCATCTGAGTTGGCGACTGAATCCATGACGTCCCGTTCCACTCCTTGAGTTGGTGTGTCCACCAATCCAGATCGGCTCGAGCTCTGTCGTCCAGTGAGATCGTCGTTTCCCAAGATGACCCCTGATGGCTGAGTGCTCTGTTCTTCAATGCCAGAAGATGCCGCGTCATTAGACGAGCTGGAAATACTGCTGCTGTCGTCGCCATGGCTTTCCCTATGAACGTAGCCAAGTTGCGAACCGTCGTCCATCCATTGCTGAGCATCTTCGCTGCTTCTCGCCGTATGTCCCTGACCTTGGACTTCGGTACCGAGAGGGTCATGTCGGTGGTGTTGATGGCGAAACCCAGATGATCTAGACATTTCGTTGGCATCAGAGAGGATTTCTCCTTGTGATGAGAAATCCAAGAGACTTGAGTTTGTCCAGGACAAGATTCGTGTGCTCTTCTGCTTGGGCTTTGGAGCTGGCCATGATCAACAGATCGTCGATGTAAGCTGTCAGCCGTATTCCTCGACGCCTCGCCCATCTCAACACCGGGCGTAGGACCTTCGTGAAGACTAACGGCGACAGTGACATCCCGAAAGGTAGAGTGCGAAACTGATACAGCTGACCCTTCCACTGAAACTGAAGGTAAGGACGAAAATGTGGATGAATCAGCACATGAAGGAAAGCATCTTTGAGATCGATGCTCGTCAAATAATCGTTCTTCTGAAGGGTATTGCATACTACCTGAATCGTCTCCATCTTGAACGAGTCTGTGATGATAAATTGATTGAGAGGACGTAGGTTGAGGACAGGCCGGAGGTCCCCTGTCTTCTTGGGGATAGTAAACAAACGACTCTGGAAACCAGGTCCCGAAGCGTGCTCTATGGCTTTTTTGGCCAGAAGTGCGATCACTTCGTTCTCTATCGCCAGTGTCTCCTCCTTGGATAGATGCGGGGAAAGGGCTCTTGATGTGTGTGTTATTGGAGGTTGTCTGTGGAAGGGAATCTGAAAACCGTTTCCAATCACGGAGCGGACCCACCTGTCGTCCGTGAAGAGCCTCCAAGCCCTCGAGTAGAGGTGCAGACGGCCTCCTACTGGCTCTTGTTGGCGCTGCCGCGTCCCCGTCCACGGCTGCCTCTGTAAAAATACTGTCCCTGCTGGTTGTTATGCATGGGCTCTCCATACCCGTAAGTGAGCTGAGGAGGTGTGGCTTGTTGTGCTTGATGGTGATTCGCTGGTGAATAAGGTTGCAATTGTGATGGGAATTGCTGTAACTGTTGCTGCTGGTGGGGGTACATGTTAAAGTAAATACCCCTGCTGCGAGAACCGGAATTGCGGCCGGATCCTCTGTTTTGCAAAGCTGCCTTGCGAGGCTTGTTGGCCTCCTGGTGCTCCTCAGCAGCTTTAATTCAGGCTGCAATATCATCTTTGGGGATAGTTGCAGTCTTTTCATGATCAGGGGCTGGCTTGAGGCCCTTTGCGCACACAAAGTTATCCATGCGCAGATCGGTGATTTGGCGTGCTGTAACGGCCAGATGAGATCGCATGACATGCCCAAAATCTGCGACGATCTGCCGTAATGCAGGATCGTGCACTTTGTGAAAGTATTCTGCCAGGAATTCGTCCAAGGGTCGCGTAGCGTGGGCCTGACGTTCCTGTAGTTAGGATAACCACTTGTCCACTCGTTGAAAAGAAGTGGTCTCCTGAGGCCAAGGCAACTCAAGAGAGGGGGCTTTGTACTGCTGATCTGGGTTCTTGGGATAGAGGACATACTCGGTGAGGATGTTATCGTCGCCAGAGTTGTCCGGGGGACGGAAGAAATGAGAGCCGTCAAGCGAAGGTACAGCCGCTTTGAGGGTATCATAGGGGACAAGTATCTTGGCCTGTGGGCGATCAATGGTGATGGGGGAAGGAGAAGGGGAGGAAGAGTTGGCCTGCGTAAGGGCAGCCACCTGCTGACGAAGAGTGTTGATTTCATGGAGTGCATTATGAGTGTTGTCGGTAGAATTGTCGCTCATTGGAACGAATAGATAATAGTCTGCAACGGATGAGTTCCAGGAGCGACGAGAAGAAAGATGTAGATCAGAGTTGCAGGGCAGAGGGATCTTTTATTTAGTTTATTTTCTTTATTTCTCGTCGGATTTTCAATGAAGAAAGGTGACATACATTCGTCCATGGTACCGTAGACAATGTGAAACAAGATTTAGAAATATCTGCTGAGTCTCTTTTAATGAACCAATCGGAAGCATTATTATGTAAGTCATTAACTTAATTTTGAATGGAGGTGAAGAGAAGCAGTTAAGGGGTTTGTATAAGGCGAGCGATCTGCATCTCACGGGAATCTTCGGTAATTGTGGCAAAAGATGCATTTAGTCAAGGCCCGGGAGCCCATGAGATCCTGACTCCCTCTTTGCAGAATATTTGAGGGAACTAAATGGTCTCACAGCTAGCGAGATTCTAGAATTTTCAGAATAAAACCTCGTTTGTCAAAGGAAAGTTCTGATAAAACAGTAATGAAAAAAAAACAACCTTGACTGCGATTTTGGCTTATTAACATTTGCTTGCTCATCTTTAGTAGAACCTCAGCTACTTCTTTCAATTCTTGTCGTCATTCTTCATGAAGAAGATGTACATCACTCTTGCCTCTTTTTCTTTATTTTTTATATACAAAGTAAGGAGCCATCAACAAAGAGACTATGTTACTTATCCATCCAAGTGGAAAAGAAGTAGAGGGGGAAAGGATATACAAGGTTGACTGAGTGAATGAGGCTAAGTTGCAAGTGGCGACAATGCCTAGAATATTCGATGAAGTGCAAAATGTACATACGATAAAAGGGAAATAAACCAATAAATGGAAAGAGAGAGGGATTCACTTAGGTTTTATCACTTATCCACATGCTTCCAGGATTTTATCATTTTCTAAGAACTCATCTAGGAGGAGGAAGAGAAGGGACGTTTTTTCGGTGGGGGTGGTGGTCGCTTCGTGATGGGAGGCATGGATTTATACATCTGTGGAGTAAAAAAGGTCCGAACGTTCGAGAACGCAGAAATGAGAGTGATATCTCTTGATCCTGAGTTCAATCTCTGAAGAGCAAGTTTACGTCCAACCTGAAGGAAGTATGACTAATGAAAAAAAAAAAATAATTAAATAGACAAATAAAAAGGAACGATCAATAAACTGCCAACCAGCAAGCCCCACAATGACTAAACCATTAAAACAACAACAATAACGTTAATGCAAAAAATAAAAAAAGTCGTATACCCGCAAGGAGAACAATGCAGCCAAGGTTCGACCATCCATGAAGCATTCTAGTTCCAGGTGGTTCGTAGGGATGAGCAGATCATGATTCAAGACCTTCCCACAGACATGAGCACCATCATGCTCACGTAACGACATCAGACTTGCAGAATAGGCTATAGTGAGTGGGACTCTTTTTGTTAGATTATATTTACCAATTTTTCCAAAATTATTGAAATGTTGTACTGTACCTTGCATATTCAAGAAATACATTTTGGGTGTTCCAGTTTGATTGATAATAAAGTGGTTGAGGCGAATATTCTTTCTCACCATCATCTCCACTTCAACTGCAGTCGAACGCAAGGGCTTCATCTCACTGTTCGAAATTGTAACAAACTCCCACTTCTTCATATGCTCGACAGAGACAACAAATTTGCAGTCGACTTTTCGAGGAGACGCCTTCTTCCCTTTGGGTCGTTCAACTGCGTATTCGGCCTCATTCTGAGATCGCGCCTTACTTGAACCTTTCAATCCTGTTTCTCCACTAAAAAAGTACAAGAAAAATAACAGGGTTGGTGGTCAGTCAGAAAACAACCCCCCTTCCTCCAAAACATAATCTCTTTGTACTTACATTACAGCAGTAACGACTGTTTTCGCAAATAAGGTATTGAACACCCGTTCCCAAACGGCTTGCGACTTCTGCTCTGTATCGACAGGACGATGGATCGGATCCACAGCACACAGAGGTACCCTATTGAGTCAATTGTTTTTTTTTTTTTTTTTTTTTTTTTTTTTTTAAATTTTTTATGATTAGCTCCATCATTCCAAACTCCTTGACGTTTTGGTTTTTTTTCGTACTTTTACTGAAACTTACACAATCTGTAAGATATCGAGCGCTAGTTTCATTGTCGCATCAATTTTTTGGCCCTGACTCCGCTTGGTTACTAAAGAGCCTTTTTCGATATCGATTAGATCCGCAAGTTGCCCGACATCAAAGATTCCTTGGTCATCCTGGGCCTGATCCTTTAGCCTCTTCAAAAGTTGCAAGAGGGTGTTCGAAGGAACGGCTATATCTGGCTCTTTTGTCTTTTCGAGGAGGTTAGGCATATCATGGAGCTTGAAGATGGTCTCAGAATCGGCACAATGAAGGTAAACGACAGAGGAGGCAGCGACACTAGGAAGGAGAGGAAAGAAACGATGTCACAATATTATAATACCAATTTGCGCAAAAAGTACAAATTATAAATATGTCCTTACAACAAATCCTTCTGCTTGACTTTGCACAAGTCACGGTAAGCTATCAGGTGGTCCTTTACATGTTGGAAAAGGGTCATCTTCAGAGTACTTTCCATTTTGGGCATCTTTGGGAGCTGTAATGCCTGGTTGTTTGCCTATCAAAAAAAAAAAAAAAAAAAAAAAAAAAAAAGAATCATGATTGTTGGTTAAAAGAAAAAGATTCATCTATCTACATGTATACAATGCTACATATAGTCCATAAAACTTACGGCGCGGTAAAGGGCTTCAAAGAGCGCATGAAAGTCATGAGGAAGAATTATTTCGGCGAGTTCATCATCGTTATCGTCATCACTCTCTTCAGCTTCTTGATTACGATCAGCTTCCCCATCGTTACTGACTGCTGCAGACCCGAAATCCCGATCTTCATCGAAGGTTGCATCGTCCTTCTCTACCGGGTCCTCGAAGCTCCGATCTTTAAGTCTGGTTAGGAAAGTTTTCGCAGACAGTGCCCAAAAAATGCATTATCTTTGTGCAGAATCAGCAACTTACGTGTAAAAGCGTCGGTAGTGATAATTGAAGCATTTCTTTGTGACGTATTCAATCGAGCAATATGTTCTACTCAAGATGACAAATTGTAAACATCAGTCTAGAACATATGTTCAGTCGCTACTGGTAACAATACACATACACAAAACTCTTACCTGCTTTATCTTCATGGAGGGCATTGTCCAGTGCCTCATCTGATACTGGAGATGCTCTAAAAGGAGAAGGTAATGGGCATATGCGCATTTTCTTTGATAGTGGCATGTCAAGGTTAAGGTCGTCTTGTGTGTTTTCATATTCTATGGCCCCAAATAGAATAGAGTATGTGATAAGAGATCTGTAGTATTAGCGATAGTTCAAATATTCAAATCACCAATGAATTTTACCTTGAGAGTCCTTGCTCGCTTCATTTACTACATCTTGTGCTACTTTCTCTATCAACGAGATGAAATATTATTTAGAATAGAATAAGGATATATAATTTAATTTTTCATCAGTATTACCATTTGCTGTTTGTCGAACTTGAGTTACAGTTGTCTGTGTATTTAAAGGAGCAGCACTCATCAATAATCCCGCGAGTTCTCCCTGGACATTATTGGTGAGAACATGGCGTGCTTGCTGGATCATGTTCTGAGCATTAACAATGGCACCGGATGACTCTTGTGCTGTTGCCCGTAGAATGATACCATGAAGTCGAGACCGCTTCGGAAGAAGGTATTGGGCTCTCCATTTATCGCAACGCTCTGACCGAAGCATCGCTTTCATTTCTCCCGCCCAATTGGTGTGCTCGGGGTCCTCTTCCATAGCGTTAAAGCATTTTGCAATCGCGTCAAACCAACTAGAAGATAAAGAGAGATTAAATTTGTCCGAGAATCCACGCCATAGTTGTTCAGCTTCCTTATGGCGATGCTCCTTCAGGTATGTTATCCAGGCAGAGATATCCATGACAAGTGAATGAGGCGAATACACGTGTTACTAAGGTTGCGGCAGTAAGATCCGTTGGTTCTTGGCCGTCATAAAACAGAACATTAGTATCACGTTATTTCTTCAGAAATATACATGAACAGTTGAGAAAAATTAAATAATCAAGGATAGTATAATTAAATCCGATGTCAAGTATTGTGTGGCACCCTCAAAATTGAATCCATGGACTATGCCATGTAGTCGGAGGGGCGTCAGAGCAGCCTCGCCACCAACAGCACCACAATAGCCTCTCCCTTTGAAAAAAGGAATGATGGGTCTCCTTATAAGCACGCGCAGCGGGAGGTCCAAGAGGCAACACCCATATTTGTATTGGCTCACCCAACCACCGGAAACACATCAGCTAAAGAGCACTGAGTTTGACAATACAATATTACGGTTCAATCTTACGGTTCAATCATAGAGGATAAGAAGGAGAATGGATGGCACCCTCAAAATTGAATCCATGGACTATGCCATGTAGTCGGAGGGGCGTCAGAGCAGCCTCGCCACCAACAGCACCACAATAGCCTCTCCCTTTGAAAAAAGGAATGATGGGTCTCCTTATAAGCACGCGCAGCGGGAGGTCCAAGAGGCAACACCCATATTTGTATTGGCTCACCCAACCACCGGAAACACATCAGCTAAAGAACACTGAGTTTGACATTCAACCTTTCAAATAAATAAAAGAAGAGAGGAGAGAAGTAGGAAAAGGGAGTATGGAGATGTGAACAAACCTGTATGATAGATGTAGAGATGATATAAAATGATTAATTTATAAAAGCCTCTTAGAAGAAGGAGAGAAGCAGAGCGAATGAATAGAAAGTTGTGCACAAGAAATGGGTAAGAATAAGTAGAGCGACAAAAAATAAAGGGAAAGATAACGTGCGCTGAGAAGGGAATAGAATGTGTAGAAGCGTACAAAAGAGAGGTTTATACAAAAAAAAAGAGAAGCAGAGATAAAGAATAGTGAAGAGTATTGGGATGAAGAGTGTTAAAATAGGGGTGAGAGGTGAGAGGTAAAAAGGAATGCTGAGAGAAGCGGATACATGAGATAGATGTGAAAAGTGTGACCTGAAGGAGAAATCAAGTCGTCCAGCGAGAGAGAAATAATGTAGTTTTAAAAAAAAGGTGTGAAGAGAGGAGTGAAATTAATTTTTTAGCTGGGTCGGAAAAAAATCAGGTAAGGTGGCTTAAATTTTGCCCCCACTTATGAACGTAATTTATTTCAATATTGCCCTATACGGATGTACATATGTCGATGTATGTACGTGATTTATTGTCACTCACATCCATCTTTCTTTTCTTTTTTCTCCACATTCACACCAATATTTTCGCTGGAAACTATTCAATCAATCTCACTCTTTGCTCCTTCTAAAGCATTTATTTTTTTCAGCGCGCAATTATACCAAAATGACACCTTAAAAAATTAAACTATTTTGCGATTCTTCACCATTTAGTGTAAAGGTTGAAGTGGATGACCTCAAGAATGCAATCAAGGAAAAACAATCGCCATTACTTGACGACATTCGTGCAAGCAAGCTGGTCCTTTTTCAGGTGACGCTTCCAGATGAGGGCATTCAAGCCAATCTTGAAAAGGTTGATTCACCCACATCACTCATTAAAGCAACCGCTAGGATCTCAAAGATATTTGGCACATCACCACTGCCTGAGGAAACCATTCACGTCATTGTTCAGCGTCCATCGCCAGGCAAGTTTATTCCCCATTTAGTAATGACTGAGAATATAATTGACGCATCTAATTTTTTTTTTTATTTCAGATACGACTATAACTATACCACTTCCCTTTCTTCGTGTCAACCCTCTCGTACAAGCACACCGACCTTTGACCAAGATGTTTCACGTAAGCTTTCAACACAGTCAAGTTGTACTACTTATTATTCTGTTTATTAATCCAATCCTTCTTTATTCACTTAGTTGCATTGAAAAAAATTGCTGCAGAGTTTTTTCAACCTGATTCTGATCACTCCATGTTTCTAAAAGAATTCGTTTCGGGTATGTATCAATTGCCCGTCACGGAGAGTGGAATTAAAGGACTACCGAGAGTTGGGAAGCGTGGACCATCAAAGAGCCGAACAGCTCCAACACTATTGTTTTTCGATTTACCAACAGAAGGTCAACCCAACAAAAATCTAAGTATAGTGGAACAAATTCTGGCAGACAACCCAGGATTACGCCATCTGCCATATACGGACTATCAGGAGTAAGTACATTGTAATATTGCCGATGCATAATGAAAGCTGCAGAGACCTATTTCTTATACTTTTTATTTTATTTATTTTATTAATGTCACTAATGATAGTGCGGCAAAACCAGAACGACTATGGGACTGCTATCTAGGCCTTGGGGACTTTACTGTAATGCCGGAGGGAAGGACTTGGGCTCAAACTATATGCATACCATCATGGAGGCATTGTCGGACCGTCCAGATTTTATCTATCCGAAAATAAGAAGTCGAATACGGATAGAGTTCGTCATCTCACTTTTGGTCTCCTTTATGCCCGGCTACTAATCCTTGACTACTGCTTGAGCATTCCTGAAAGTTATAAAACTTTCACGTGTCAGAAATGGATGTCGCTTCAAGTCGCTACTCCAGTATTTAAGGATATATTCCAGAGCCTTTTCCAGATTATCAGTCGCTACTTTCGCGAACATGAAGTGTCAATGATGAGCCGTTTGCATTTGTATGTTGTTTTATTTTGTTTTATTTCTTTTTATTTGAAGAATTTAATCGGTATATACATAGTGCTATAGTATCGCTAACTTGCTTTGTAACCTATATTAATAGAGAGCAGCGGATAATTTCTTTCAGAAAACAGATCCAGTACACTTCCAACATCAAAGCGATAGAATGACAACAAGTCCTTCTGACTCATCTCGCGGATTTGAATGGGAGACCGTAGTTCCAACAAATTTGGAAGGTATATTTCATAACAAGATCGTATCAAGTGCACTATTCAATGATGGCGAAATACGTCACGAAATGTTTCGACGCAAAGCAGAGATCGTTGATTTTGAAAGGGTAATGAAGACAACTACCCATGCTGCCAGGATCAGGGGTGACACCATGACTATGGATCAACTTTTAGACTCGCATATCAACAATGGATCAGAGTTTAATAGGTTTCCCGTGCCCATTCTATTTCCCCTATGCTTATTGGTCAGGTCCTGATATTGTTTTTGTTGTTCGGTTTATCAGTGATACCCCAGAGACGGATATATATTGTGTAGTATTTGCTCAATTGAAACTTCGTGGCGATCTGGATTTAGATGATGCACAAGATACCCGCAGATCAGTTCAACCAAAAATAAATTAACAATCATGGCATCAACCTTTCTGAATATTGCAAACCGCGTATGCATTACATCAGTCTCATATTAGCATATCCATCAGAGATAGCTCAGCATTTCATCAACAAGCCGCTTATGGAGCACGGTAAAGGTATTACTGAGATCGCTTTAACAGTTGACAAGAATAATATTAGGCAGCTCTTTGAAAAGAAATATGTTGACGAATTGGACCAGTTAAAGCGATTTGGAGAGGATATGGAACGTGATTTAGAATTTGCTAAGAAACGACGCCGAACAGTTGTTAAAAAGAAACTTCCATGCTCAAATTACAAGATCAAATTCCGATCCACTGTGAAATTTCAGTATTTTGGCAGACCTTGTTCCCACAGGGGGTTTTTTTTCTAAGTTTGGTTAAAGAATTAACCTTATTTTGGACCCTGCATGGATCTTTTTTTCAGAAGGACACTGAGCAGTGGCCAAAAAATCTTTTTCTCGCCTTGGTCAAAAGAATAAATGAGAGCACATTTACTTTATACTTTAGTTTCCATCTTCTTTTTTCTTTCATTGTTAGCAGAAGTGTGCTTAGCTTGTGTTAGTATATATCAATCTTGCAAATAGACTCACATCCAAAACAAAACCAAGCTACAAGTGCCTAAAAATATAAATACAAATCACAGGTATACAAAGAACAGACCTTTTTACAATGGGGTGGATGTAAAGAGAGGCGTAGGTGTACTTGATTAGTGCCTTATTGTACAGTCACCCGAAATAAATTATTGAGATTAAGAATATTTATTTACATTTTTTGAATAATCTGGGCAAACAGCTCATATGCAGCATATACAAAGACTTTATCAATCAACATGAAAGTTCGTAATTTTATCGAAGAGGCTATTGTGGTTATTTACTGAAGTCCTTGAGGTATATTAATTGATTAAGAGAAGTACTACGCGGGTTCAATAACCAGTGTACCTTCCTTTGGCCCCCTTCACCTCTATCAACCTTTCTGGCATGGAGTTAACAAGGATAGCCAGCTCCGCTTGTGGCAACTTGTCCCACTCCTCAACCAGAGCCGCTCCGAGGCTAGCGAGGTCTCTTGGCCCTTTGGTGCGTCTATCAAGTGCAACCGCGAGGAGTGACCACACGTGCTCAATGGGGTTTAAATCTGGAGAGCATGCAGGCCAGTCTGGAATCCTTGAGATGTTGTTATTTTCGCGCCATTCCCTTGCAACTTTGCATGTATGGACTGGTGCATTATCTTCCATGAGAATACCATCATCCACCTCAGCCATAAACCTGGCTAGCTCACATTTATACACATCTTCCACGAAAGATGGTCCACCCCTACGCCCTCGTTGAAATATAACCAACCGGGACCTTCCGGTCGCTGTAATCGCTTCCCAGACCATTAGGGATGTCCTACCACTCTTGAAAGTAGGCGCAACGCAATCATAGTCGTACTTTTCCTGTGCTGTGCGCCAAACTCTTATCTTACGAAAGTGCGCGCCAACTTCAAAGGATAACTCGTCAGACCAAACTACCCGACTCCAATCTTCTATAGACCATTTTTTATATTTTTTTACAGACTTCAGCCGCCTCTCTATGTGCTCTGCGCTTAAGAATGGTTTAGGGACAGCAACCCCGCTGAAAATGCCTAAGAAATGCAGCTCCTTTTCAACTGTCCTCTTACTCACTTTTTTTGGCAATAAGTTGGTGATCTCCTGAAGAGTAACCCTCCTTTCTCTCTTACTATTGCGCACAATGCTTCTGATGTCGTGAGCGCTCAGTAGTTTTGGACGTCCTGGGGTTTGGGCGCGAGCACTGGTTCCTCTTTCATGATATACCTTGATAATGTGATAAACTGTTGATAGATTCACGCCGCGTTTCAATGCGATATCCACGCCTTTCAGGCCTGCGAGATGCAATTCGATGATGATGCTTTTAGCCTCGATATCCAGGTTTTTTGGCTTGATGGTTATTTCAAATTGTTAATATATGGATAATGGGAAAGGGAGAAGACAATTGCTTTTTATCGCGTAGACCATTTTGAATTTTATTATCTCAATAATTTATTTCGCGTGACTGTATGAGAGTGTTTGAGACTGTACGTTCGCGGTGATCTTTTGCTTTTGTTCTTGGCTCTTGTTCCATTTTTCATTGGCTCTTCACTGTAATCCTCTTTTTTGTTAAATCTTTTTGTGAATTTTTTTTTTTTTTTTTTTGAATCATGCAACCAACGCCGTATCCCTGCCCAGACTGGATGCAAGTGACGATAATGAAGCCAGACAGATAGCAACCAGACGGCTCCTTTTTAATCAACGCTTCGTTTAAATGCGAGGGCGAGAGAGTCTATACAAAGATCTCTATCGAAGGCAAAGTCCGCGAGAGGAAGGTGCACCCAGTGTTACAAGTTTGTATCACATCTTTTAGAGACAAAAGAAACTTCGGTGACTGTAGAGGTGATGGGCTATTTTAGGCTCAGTCCCTTTCGGGGCGACCGAGGTTTAGGTCTTTCTTCCAGGCTGGTGGTAAAGGAGGCGCGTATCCCAGTGGAGTGTTCAGATGATGAAGAAGTGGAACAAGATCTATTTGATGGTTTGCCACAGATGGTATCTGTATCTCGAGAGCCGGGGAATGACCTTGTTAAATCGGTGCTGCTGAAAGCGGAGGGAAAGAGAAAGGTAATATTAGGACATCCAGTTATTTATTGTCCATTGCCTACGGTACCATGTCCGTATGTGTGTGTCACCTTTCTTCATTGAAAATCCGACGAGAAATAAAGAAAATAAACTAAATAAAAGATCCCTCTGCCCTGCAACTCTGATCTACATCTACTTCTCGAGCCAAAAGGGTGGTGTGGGTGGGACATACGTCCATGGTACCTATGACAATGTGAATAGGTCGTCCTTCGTAGACCATTCAGTAGACCATTGTCTACGGCACCATGTCCGTATGTGGTTCCAGAGGGATCGCCAAAGAGAACTAAACTAAAACAAAACTAAAACTAAAAGAAAACTGAAGAAAGGTGACACACATACGGACATGGTACCGTAGACAATGACTACAAGTCTGTTCCCCTGCTCAGACTGACTGCGTATCAACATACGTTCCCCTGATGGTCACCTGGAAGATAGCTTGCTTCTTTGTAACATCCCATTCAAATGCGCCGACGGCAGAACATACTCCAAGATCCATATCGGAGGCTCCACTGCAAAAGTCCGCCGGCAGAACCCCATGGCGGCATTCGTGGTGAACACCCTAAAAGGGAAAGTAACGAACATCGACCTGGAAGTCTGTGGACACTTCAGATTAAGCTCCTACAACAGCGACCGAGGCACGAGCATAAGCTCTCGTTTAATTGTACCCGCCGCCAGACCACTCGCCAATGAAAAAGAATCCACAGACGAAGATGACAAGATCCTAAACTTTCTCTTCGTGAAGATGTACGACAGACCATAGCTGGCCAAGTCGAACAACATGACGACTTATGGTTTACGAAGACGGCGAAGGAAGTCTTACGTCCATTATCCGAACAGGCGACCCTATACTGTCCCACCCTTTTTTTCCCACCTTTCGTAGTTTTGCATCGAAAGAAAGATGTAAATCAGAGACAGCTATAGTTGAGATTTTATTTTTCTTTATTTACATGGCTTTAGTTGGATTCTCGAGCGGGAAATAAAGAAAAAGAGATTACACAGTAAAGGATCGCCTGTTCGGATAATGGACGTAAGACTTCCTTCGTCGTCTTTGTAAACCAGAAGGACACTGAGCAGTGGGCAAAAAATCTTTTTCTGCTTGCACGTAACAATAATAAAATTTTTTCTTTTTTTTTTGTCAACCTTTCTGCATGATTGCTTCCCTTAAAACTTTTATAATCAGATTGCCAACACTCGCCTTGGTCCTAAGAATAAAGAAGAGAACAATAGAGGAATGTTATATGGTTATTTTTAGCATATTTACTTTATATTTAAGTTTCCATCTTTTTTTTTTTACAATCTTAGCAGAAGTGTGCTAGAGCTTGTGTTGGCATATATCAATCTTGCAAATAGGCTCTGCATCCAGAGCATCAAGTGCTTACTTTATTCTTTCATTTTTTCATTTTTACGAATAATATATGAGCTCATGAAAAAAGGTCACATTTTTTGGAGATATTGAGGCCATTATGAAAGCTGATCAAACCTGATCAAACCTGATGGAAACTGATCGCTTTTGACACCGAAATCCTTTTGCTTTTCGTCAAAAATATCCGGTCATTTGATGCATTTTTCTCTTGAAATATTTTATGGTCTATCCCTCCAATGATGACCTTCTCTTTCTCTCTTCTGCTTTCCTTTTCTCTCTCTCTTTTTAACTGTACTTTCTTCATCTCTTTTTCTTTCTGCCTTTATTCATGTTTCCTTCCCATTTTCAATTTATTAACTCTCGCGCCCTTCGACTCAAACTCTCTTTCTCATTTCTACTTGTGCGCTTCACTCTCTCAGACTCTCTCGCTTCATTTCTTCGTTTTTCCCTGTTGCCCGTTTCCGTAAGAAACCTTCCTCATCCATACAGAAGCAGTGCTCCTATTCGAACCATTCGCCACTCAAACCACTCGGCACTCGAACCACTCGACACTCGGGCCATTCGACACTCGAACCATTCGAACTATTCGACCATTCGCGTCATTCGAATCGATCCGTTCGAAACGAATAGGAGCACTGCTGCAAACCTGTCACAGTAGCTGCAACTCCAATTCCTACTGCTTGTGTCCGCTTGTTCTTTTTGCTCGAGAGCTGTTGTGCAGCTGCCGCCTTCTCTTTCGATAGCCTCGATAGGCCCGATTCAGACCGCACATGGAGCTCTTGAGGAAGCGATAGCATTTCCTGTGACAGTGATGCGAATTGTGGGACTTCTGTCTGTGAGTTGTCTTCGAATTTCCATCCCGGGACACTGATTGTCGCTAAAAGCTTAAGCTGCTGTATGATTAAAGCAACTTAGGATAATTTAGATCAGTGTTAGACTTGCCGAATGTTTGATTCCAGAATTCCAGTGTCTTATTGACGATTGACTTGTGATGAGAGTTGAGTGCAGTAAACAGCAATGGAGACAGTTGAGCTAAAGGCCCGGAGGTCGAGTCAACATCTTTAGCAGCGTGTTTGGTATCCAAGAATGGATTAGCTGGATTCGAGGCGGATGAAGGCTTTTGCCATTTTTGCGTTTGTTGATAAATGCTACGAATTGTAGTCAGAGGCGCTGGAAACACTAAACCAAAAGCAGAATTCGGACCACCTATGCCGGTCGATGATGGCGAACATTTGAGTAGTATTCCTAAAATACACTGAGTCCACATGGTTTCAATTCTAGCTCTGTAGGGTCGACGCTGCATCTTGGATGGGTTACGAATGTTCATCATGGGATCATCAAGCCATGTAATAATAGACAGCTGTAGGGCTTAAAACCATTGAATGGTTTGTGGCGAAGGGCCTTTGTTGATGGTTCTTTCCATGAGCAAGAACGCTACTCCTTGAATCTGTGGAATACCTTCGGAGGTAATCAACTCTGCTCTGTATCTCACATTATCGTATGCTTCCGCAAATAGGTCCGAGCAGAGATTGAGCAGATAATCAGAATTTCTATCCAAGAGAATTATATTAGTACAAATCCTTGCAAGGCTTGAGCATTTACCCTCCACTCTTGTAAAAAAAAAATAAAAATAAAAAATGAAAAATAAAAATGAAAAATAAAAATAAAAATAAAAAATAAAAATATAAATAAAAATAAAAATAAAAATAAAAATATAAATAAAAATATAAATATAAATAAAAGTAAAAATAAAAATATAAATATAAATAAAAATAAAAATAAAAATAAAAAATAAAAACTCACTGTGCTGATCTATATATTAAGAAAAGACGAAAAAATTAGGAGGCCAGGAAATTAGGTGGCTGCCTTCTGGTACCATAAATAATCAAACATACATGTATAAGCAACAGCTTGAGCATTCACTCATCTGTGGATAGCAAGGAGCTGGGTGGCAAGGATCTCATTTAATTGGAGAATGGGCATCCAGTGCAGAGTGATTGGATATCGGCTGTCTTTACCAAGAGTCAAAATGTGATTCGTTGTCCCTTAATTTAATTTATTTTGCCCATACATAAAAAGATGATGCACTGTAGATAAGGATCTTTAGTCAAGGGGATCGCAATGAAAGGAATGAGAGACTATTTGTTCGAGATAAAAATCTTGATGACGAGGAAGTGCGTTTTAGAAAACAATTGAGATTGTGGACAACAAAGGCTGATATGGCTTTCCAGAATCGACCCTCTAATGCAGTTCCAATGACTGAATCACCTGTCGCCAGCCAGGTCTTGAGAATGAATTCAAGCGGCAATAAGATGACACCCTCGTTTTCAGGAAGCGGGATCACATCGCTTGTCTGTGGCGTTGGTTCAGAAACAGGGTATTGAGCAGACATAAGCGTTCTGGGAGAAAAAATCTCAATAACACAAGTAAAGAAATAGTATATCATGTCCGCTCGAATGATGTATCCTGTCGACTCTGTATCGTGTTTCAACAGTGCAAGCTCCTCAGGGTCACAGTTCGGCCATTCGCCAGGAATGAGTGCTTCCGGGTTGCACCGTGACAATTTTTCTACAAAAAATAGCAGTGATGACAGAGCACGATCTGCCTCAGAAGTGGCTCTCATATCTAGCATAAGAATTTAAGGCACTGTCATTCGTTAGACTACATCTTTTTTCACCTCGTATCATTTGGCCATTGAAGGTTCAGATATTGATCAATGAATAGCACAAGACCGTACCCTTCTCTTGCAGATTGATATCTCGGATGGCTCTCACGATGGTTTCCCAAGTCGTCGCACACCGCTGCGTAAGCAGAGGTAGCTCCGTCAATCCAAGTATCTTCCAATCTTCGCGTGCTGCTTCCTGAATCCTATGTTGTAGCCCAACAGCTTGGTAAACACAGTCCAGACAATTATCCAGCAAGTCCGTACGGACCCAAGATGCCTCTGCACAGCCTAAATCCGAAAATGTAATTGAGCCAGGTACTATACTCTGGCGGCCTTCCACAAGGTCTACCGAAGTATTAAGTCTACAGTTAATTATCAGCGATATCAAATCTATCTTTTTGAACTAGCTATTATATTGTTTACTAGCAATTATCAACGCTCCATACCTTGACCGCCAGAGTTAGAGATCAGTGCCGCAATGAGTCTGAGCGCGAGGTCACGGACATGCTCAGACTCGTCCACAATCGCAAGCTTCAGCTGCGGAAATAGGACCTGATCTGCGTACTGTGATAAGCGCAAGATGAAGTAGCTCGTTAGAGATAACATTTTTTAGTCCTCAAATTAGTAGCACTGAACTTCTGCTCGAAATATGTCTCAACATACCTTTGATAGACTGGAACCGAGGGCATAAATAAGGATATCCAGGTGTTGAAACATGCTAGTCGAATGCGCTTCTGACTTTCGTAAAAAAGGCTATATCAGGGACAAGAGCAACAGTAATGATGGATATTAGAGTCCACATAAAGTTTTCCCTTTTGGGACGAAGGCTCAAGGTATGGATGGACGAAGCATAAGTGTAGAGCAAAACCTACCAGTTTGCGATTGGGGCAAGCATTAGTCCAAGAGGCCTTTCGTTTGCGATATGTCCGCCAATAGCAAAATTATATATGAGGCGCCTAATAAAAAACAAATAAAAATAAAATGTTAGTTTCAAACATTGCATCAGCCATTATTTGGCGTTATACCGAGCGGAAAAAAAAAAAAAAAAAAAAAAAAAAAAAGAAAAGTTCTTCGAGTCCTTGACTTACGTCCATGCTTGAAACGCGGCCATGTTGATTTCTGTCCTCGTGGATGATGTCGAATTAAAACATTTCTATTTGTGATAGATATGTCGAGATCAAAGCATTATATGCGTAAAAAGTAAAGAAGGAAAAACAAAAAAAAAAAAAAAAAAAAAAAAGTTAGAATAGTTCAAGGATGTGTCATAATGCAACACCGATATTGCCGAGTATATTACCTCCACCATCTTTAGCATGGGCTTGAGCAATGGACTTTCTTGTAGTCTCTTTCCCATTAATGTGACTAGCGTGCCCCAGACAGTGATGGCGTAAACCTCTAAAGTTACAAGAGAAACTCTTAAATATTAATCAAACATCCTTTTTAACATTCAAGAAGAAGAAAAAAAAAAGTCCGTATCGTCTTACCATCATTAGCATCCAGAAATTTTGCTGTCAAAACCTCAAGGAACTCAGTGCTATAATCATCCATGAATTCGTTGACGGCCTGTATTCGCCTCGGATCCTCCTTTTCAATCAACTTAGGGATCGCCATTTTCAACAGCTCCAACGCTCTTGACCGGATACCAGCAATGGGTGATATTAGTGCCGTAAGTACAGGTATGAGCCATGATCGGACTGTTGCCACGATTTCATTCGGAAATTGTGTAAATACGGTAAACATGCCTCTTAAGGATTCACCCGTAATACTTGGCGACTGGAATCGGGACTGCAGGTTGTCCGAGAAAGCCTCGATCGTTTGTGGGAGGAACGGATAGAAGAGTCTCCGATGGATTCTGGTAGCGGAGAGAGTCCATATTGCCAAATTACAAGTTATTTTCTCATCCGTTGCACTGACCAAATGTAAGGTTCGTGCAAGAAGAGCCTCGATTTCTTTGGAGGCAAACATCGCGACAATTTTCTGGCTGAAAAGAAAGTAGCTTGTACACTTTAGTGTCGCCTGAATCAAACTCGGAGGGCTATATAGGTCTAAATCCCTCGTGAGATACCTCGCAAACAATCGTATTGACTCTTTGACTTCCTCCAGATAGAATGGGTTTTCGCCGCCCTCTCTGAACTTGGCCTGCAAGTTAAGGTATGCTGGTGAGCGTATTTGAGCATCCTCAGACTGCAGTGACTCAAGAATCCCTTTCAATTTGGGAGCAAACGCCGCGTTGGGGAGCGACAATGGGGACTTCTGTCTGTAAGGGGGGAATGCGACGCGTTTGCTTGGAGAAGCTTCTACGACTGCAATCTGAGTGGGTATAGAAACAGGAACATCAGTTGCTACCAAAGACTCGTGAGATACATCATTTGGTGGCGTGCTATGGCTTTCTTGAACATTGTTGTTTGGTGATTCCTGAGGTGCTGTGGTGGGTGCTGTGGTGGGTGCTGTGGTGGGTGCTGTGGTGGGTGCTGTGGTGGGTGCTGTGGTGGGTGCTGTGGTGGGTGCTGTGGTGGGTGCTGTGGCTGAAATGTCCGTTGACTGGCGTCGGTCTTCTCTAGACGTTCGCTTCGAGCTTTTAGATGATGACGCAATATTCGATGGCTGTGATGATGCGGACACTTCTGACTCCTCTACAGGTCTGTTGTTGTTGCTGTCGTTAGTACTATCGTTATCGTTAATATCGCCAGTCGACGTCACCCGACGGCTCTTGGGGAAGGGCAGATGGAGCCGTTTTCGCAGTAGACGTTGCGTCCAGTATTGTGATATCTGCTTTTCTTTTTTTGGTGATGCTGTTTTAGTACTATCGTTATCGTTAATATCGCCAGTCGACATCACCCGACGGCTCTTGGGGGAAGGTGAAGATGGAGAGGTTTCGGTAGTAGACGTTGCGTCTAGTATCGTGATTTCTGCTTTTCTCTTTTTGTTTGTAATGGAATCCATTATTTCTCGGTGTAAGTCGCGTGTACGAAAGAAAGTGAAAAAAAGTGGAAAAAAGTGAAAAAAAGTAAAAAAAGAAAAGAAAAAAAAGACAAGAAATGAAAAGATAAGAAGAAAGGAAAAGATAAGAAGAATAGAGGAATCTTTAGTCAAGGGGACCACAGTGAAAAGAACGAGAGACTATTTGTTTGAATAAAAAGCTTGGTGACAAAGAAGTGCGTTTTAGAAAACAGTTGAGATTGTGGACAACAAGATGGCGGCAAATTTTAACAAGTGAGAAGAGTCAAGATGTTAATTTTTTAACTTTTATAGTCGAAAGCTAAAATTGGTCCCAAAAATGATGGTGAAATTTAAAGTCACATCATATATTGGCGCACATGATACCAATAACCAAATTACGTCTTCCTCTTTATTCAGACAATTATATAAACACCATGACCAAAAAAAGTATTAGCAAAAGACGCAAGCCCTTCTCGGTGGAAGTGAAGGCACTAGCCGAAAAACTGAAGCCTCTTCCCCTTTCCCCTTTTCTAATAAGGATGGATAAAACATATGCAAAACACGAACTTGAAGAAATTCAAACGATATTATGACACCCTGACATCTCTTGAATACTGTCAAATAGAGGACAAATCAGCATAAAGTTGATGTCATGTGCGCCGATATTTGTGACTTTAAGTTTCATATTTTAAAATACTTCTTTTGTGAAGGTCAGTTCATTCATTTCTGAGACCAAGTTCACAGTGAATTTGACTCCATAAACTACTTTCGGTTATAATGAATAGGAAAAATGGTTTATTATATAAAAGGGCTCAGTATCAATGTCATACTGTCTTCTCCTGAATTGCCTTTTCCATTACTATTCTCTTCCGTCTCAACACCTCTTCTTGCAACATCTTCTGTTCTTGTTCAATCAACTCTAGTTTCTGTCGGCGCTTTGCTTCATATTCATCAACATCGGTAGCACCTTCAACAGTCCAGCCCCTACAGCATTCCGACGCCGTAGCGCGCCTGTCGTTGCCTTTGCAGCAGAAGCAGTAATCGTTTGATATGTCTCACTTTGTTCTATCTGAGGTATGTTCGCCAAAACCTTCTTCTGTCGATATCGGTTTGTCTTTGACCAGATCCATTGACCACTCAACGCCATCACTCCAAACATAATGGTCCCCGATGGTACTGCCTTGCATCCGCCTAAAAAAAAAATAAAAAATAAAAAAGCTTATTATGATGTGTGTGAGAAAGACTTAAGTATTTTAATACCAAAGAAACCTTTTTTTTTTTTTTTTTTTTTTTGTACTATCTGTATTCCATTCATAACTTTATCTTATTCCCTACGTGCTAATGCTGCAAGGATCCCTCCTGTGCACGCTCCTGCAAGCGTACTGCTCCAAAGTTGCTCAATCTCTATAGTCTGTGGATCTTTCAACCCAAAATATGGGTTTTTGTTTCGCTGAAAACGAAGAAATGACTCCCGGAAGGCTATACAATGATAACATATGTAGCAAAAAAAAAAAAAAAAAAAAAAAAAACGGTTTTATATCATGTAAATACAAAAGAAACTTATTTCAAAAACTGCATGTAGGCATTTACTACTGCATTATCCAACTAGAACGGCGACCCTTTGCTGTAAGCTCTCTTTCTTTATTTCCCGCTCGCGAATCCAACTAAAGAGATGTAAATAAAGAAAAATAAAATCTCAACTATGGCTATCTCTGTTCTACATCTTTCTTCCGATGCGAAAAGAAAAAAGAAGTAAAACTACGAAGGGTGGAAAAAAAAGGGTGGAACAGTAAAGGGTCGCCTGTTCGGATAATGGACGTAAGACTTCCTTCGTCGTCTTCGTAAACCATTATCCGTCAAGAACGGCGACCCTTTACTGTGACTTCAGAGATCAGCCCAAAACAACATGAGTAAAGTTTGACCGGGTGTTGCTGGACAGTCGGTAAAACTTGGAGAACATCGCAGGTGAGGGCCAAATGCCTTGTGCGACAATATCATCAATGTTGATACCCATCTTAACAGCCTGCGTAGATCCAGCCGCGCGTGCTTTAGGTGGTTTGAAACCTGAAGGAAGGTGCAGTCGAGCCATAACTGCGCGAATGTGCTTACTAATCCTCTCAGCACCAATAGCTTGACCAGGGAACTTGATTTGTCGAATGAGAGGATTGTACTTGAGCGAAGGCATCGTAGGGTGCGGGACATTAAGTCTGAATTCTTCGTGGAGGTGTACGTAGTCACGAAAAGTCCGAACTGGGCACAAGCGAGGGTCCGTAGCATGGGCCCTTGAGGATCACTTCCTTATTCTTATGAATGCCGCCAGATGTCTCCTTGGGCCGAAGAATGAGCATTCGGACGAACGACTCTTCTACCTGGCAGCCATTAAGGTCGATTCGCTCGATATCACATGGGCGCAGAAAAGCACACATATCTAGGAGCCAGCAAAGCTTTTGTGTAAGGGTCTCTTTGGACATGTCGTTGTTCGTGGCGAGTGAACGGAAATATTCCAGAACTGGGGTCAAGTCGAGATCGACATCCTGCGAAGGATCAACTTCATTTGCGCGCAAAATCTTGAAGAAGTGGCGAAAGTGCTGGTCTTCGTCAAATGACGAGGTGTCTTCGTACAGTCCTGTTATTTGTGCTCGGTAAGCTGTGACAGCCGCGGCACGCCACTTTCTGGTAGTGTGCCCCATGCCAGAAAATTGAGGATATGGTGTGGTCCCCACATCCTGTCCAACCTCTCGAATGTCGACGGATCTATGGACCACTCGAGTTGTTGCTGAAGCTGACGACTGGGAGGGTCCGCAGGATTGAGCTGGGAAAGAACAAAGGCTGTAGTCAACATTGTTCCTGTCTTCAGACAGTGTGACCATATGTGATTGGCGAGATCCATTAATTCCGGAGACCTGGTGCCTCCGAATTTGTTGACATAAGCAATGGTGGTAGTGTTGTCGCAGTAGAGCATCAGACGTTTCCCTTGAATTGTGGTAGAGTGACAATATACCATATTACTGTCAGTTCCTTGACATTGATATGGCATTGGGCCATCTCAGAGTCCCATGTGCCGCTCAGGGAGTCCTGTCCATAAACAATACCCCAACCCGTGTCCGAGACATCCGCGAAGACTTCCCTCTGAGGTGGTTGTTGGATCCATGACATCCCGTTCCATGACTTTAGGCTGTCAATCCACCATTCCAGTTCCTGTGCAGCCTCCATCATCAGTGAAACAGACCCCGTCCATGAAGTCCCTAGGCGAAGAGCCTCGTTCTTGGGGTGGACTAAGTGGTGTGTCTTGAGCCTGGCTGGGAGCACCGCCGCTGTCATTGCCAAGGCTTTGCCGATGAACGAAAACAGAGCTCGCAGGGTCAGTTTGCCTTGTTTGAGGATCTTGGTAGCTTCTTTGCGAATATCTCGGACCAGTCGCCTCAAGCTTAGTACAGGTCGAAGATCTCCTGTTTTCTTTGGAATCGTAAATAGGCGACTGCTGAATCCATCTTCTGTAGCTTCCTCTATCGCCCTTTTTCCCAAAAGGGCAAGAATTTCGCGCTCGATCACTTCTGTCTCTCTCGTCGAGCGATGATGATTGTGTAGTTGTTGGGAGGTGACTGTTGCTGGGAGAATTAAGGTTTGTGTCGGAGGATGAATTCTGACTCTGAGGCCCGGATTGTTGCCCTGTTTGGGAAACATTAGAGTTGCCGTTATTGTGACGGTTGACGCCGTTATTGTGACGGTTGACGCCGTTGGCGCTGTTGTTGCCATTTCTAGTATAGTTCCTTCTGCCTTTGCTTCTGCCGCGTGCCATTTGGCTGGTTGCTTGCCGAAGTGAGGTAGTAAACTTTTGCATCTCAATGAATTCCTGAGGCTCGAGGATGGGAGTCCTGTTGCTAGGGTTAGTGGGTGGAATGATGCCCTTGTCTCGACACAAAGCTTGGACACGTAATTGACCGATCTCAGTGGTAATAAGCGCCAGATTGTGTCGTATGACGTCAAGCGAGCGAAGAACGTTGGCCACCATAGGGTCATTGAGGTCAGTAGATTTGAGGAGAGCGTGGGCTGTTGCATCAATAGAGCGAGTGAGGTGAGCGAGACGTGCTTGGATTATAGCCCAGTCATGGTCTCGCCTTTTAAGGCTGTCCGAAGGGCTGATGTTTGGAGGTAAAGGAGGGGGTGTGTAGTCCACATCTTTAACCCTAAGAAAGGTCTTAACGTCCAGGTGGAAGATCAATAAAAATAAACGAAGTGGCTTAAATGCTTGCATGTACGGCAGCTTATTCCTTGGCAAACAATTATTTCGGACTCTTTGCAGAAAGAGGATACATCTATTACGATCTAGGTACTCCGAACATCAACCAAGCTGATTATACTATTTTGTACTGGTACAGTATATTGGTGTTGTGCGTGCAGATCAGATTATAGGATTGAGGCAACAGGATCCAGTTTTGAGCATTCAAGTATTGGGGAGGAAATTCTTCAGGAGTTCGCATATTGAGGATTTGACGGTGAGTTCTGTACAGGTTTTACAATTGAAGGAGTATTGCTGAAAAGAAGGAAAAAGTCGTGCTTTCGTTTTTAGATTGCTTTTGTCATAAGTGTAAATAACGACCTCAAGTTCGTCCTAAATCTCTTCCAAAAAATAAAAAATATAAAAGTACAAAATTATATTTACATCAAACAATTTCTATATGGGCTTTCATGGTGAAGGTGATGAGAAAAAAAAAAAAAAAAAAAAAAAAAAAAGAGGGAGGAGGAGCAACCCTTTGTCTGATGGAAGTTCCGTCATTCTCGTTGAGAGCAACAAGAGATAGAGTTAGGAGCTTTCCGACCATAATAAATTATCATTCGTTTCCTGCCCTCATTCCCTAAGCTCTACCTTTGCACCACCAGGCAATTTGCATGACATGTAACTTAATAAATCACCACAATTCATTCCCAATCCCCCTGTCTCTACCTGTCGCAGATGAGACTCCAGCTCGGGAAATGTTTACAATGAGATAGGGATAAGAGCACTAGGAATAATCCGTTTATAAGAGACTTGCTTTGGGCTGTATGAGATTAATTCAGTCTCGTCGCCAGATTCAATAATGATTTAATGAATGTGTTTTACAACCAATTGCACGTGTCTCTCTCTTCCTGCAACTTTGTTTACGTTTTTAAACGGTTTTCGCTCTGACCAGTCAAATTAGCAAAAACGGGATTTTTATTGTCATTTGGCACTTTGGTTATTTTTATTGGCGGCCACAGTTGTAGAATCTATCCAGAGGTACGAGGTGAAAATGCTCGTTTAGAAATCCATAAAGGCTAGCCTTTCGTCAAATGCGTCAAAGATGGATCTAATGGTTTATTGGTGAAAATCGGAATCAATGCGTTGATAACCCTTTGAAGGTAGCATGGTGTTGAAAAAGGAAAAAAAGAAAAAAAAGAAAAGGGAAGGCAAGATAAGAGTATTTTGCGTGCAATACAACCAGGTTGTTGTCACATAATTGTGATTTTGCTCGCATTGTTGTTGCGATATCGGTAAGGAAAGTATACTTTAGTCATTTACCCAGTTCCGGAACTAAAAAATCGAGTACATCAATCCTTTGCTTTCTAGTAACTCTATCCCGCTCGTATCAGACCCTATGCTCTATAGATGCTCCAATACATGTATCGTAGAGCAAGCTTCCCCCTTGAGGCAGATATGAAAAGTAAGAACCAATAAAATCACACAGGAATGTTACATTTGCATTTATTAAACTAACCAAGAAATTATTAACGTACAAGCCAGTTTGATTAACATAACCTTAACTTAAAATATATTAAATATGTAAACGTGTTAAACGCGTAAACAAAAGTTTTATAACGCTTAACACTGAAATTTTGCTTTAATAAATCGCACTGTTAACATTCATTGCTCATCCTCCTCTCCTTTTCTAATGATCTTCCCTGCCAACACAATTTCTCATTCTCATCTGTTTCACCCCCACAAACCATCATCGCTGTCCTCACTAATGACGCTATAAGTAAATAATCGCCATTTGCATAGTCATGCCTCATTGCATCAGTTGTGGAAAAAGCACTTGTCAAGTTTGTCCATCCTTTACTTCTCTCTTATTTTTTATACTTTCTCTATAGCACAATCACTGATAGACCAAGTGGCATCCACATAACTGGCATATCTTTTTCATAGCATGAAATCACTATCCAAATCAACTGTCCAAAATGCAACCGCACAGCTCATCAAGGAAAGTCTTGCAGAGAGGTGTCAAAGAGCTTAGGGATATTCGTTACCTCAGTACAAAGGATTAGAAAAAGAGGCAAGGAACGTATTCCAGTGTTGAAAGGGGAGCGACCTTACAAAGTCATTAAGGAAACGAAACGAGTTTTAGTGAGATATTTGATAATGAATTGTAGACCCTCAAAGATGGTCAACAACTAGTTCAATCGAGGGATGGAGTGCAGGTTGGTAAATCCAGCATCAGGAGGTGCCTTATTGAGGATGATATAGAGGCATATGTAAAACACAAGCAGCCTAATATGACAGATAACCAAACCCATGCTCGATATGAATTTGCAAAAGAACACTTGAACTGGATCGTAGATGACTGAGAGAATACCATGTCCTTAGATGAGACCACCTTCAATAGAGTTGGGTCTTGCGGAAGAAAATCCTACTACAAACATCGAGGAGACAATACTCTACAATCACATCATATCAAAAGACAAGGTAAGGTAGTGGAGGGGAAATAATGTTCTGGAGTTGCATCACCTACTACGGACCAGGCGATGGCTGTTGGCTCCAAGACAAGGTTGACTTAGTAACCGACGTCGACGTCTCCAAGGATTATATCATTAGATCCAGGGATTACGACTCGTTGAATAAGGACAAATTATATTTCAGCAAGACAATATCAGTAGTCATACCGCAAAAATTACAATAGACTATATCCAAAAGCCTAATATAGTCCCCATGAAATGGCCAATGAGCTCTTGTAATAGGTAGTGAAGACAAAAAGGTGATCTCGTTAAATTATTATATGTCTTTTTATAAGCTCGATTAGTAGTCATCTATATGGGTTTTTAGCTAAGATTTTTACCTCTTTTTATTTAATGAAGATCTTTCTTTCGTTCTCATTACTTATTACGATCCTGGCATATTCAGACTATTTACTGTGACAACTCCTGATATCAACCCAATAGAAAAAAGTATGGGCATACATGAAGATGTAGTTGGATCAATATCTAGACACACCAAGGAATATGGAGGACCTCTGGAATCGAGTTCAAATGGACACATATCCCCCCTGAATTCTTACAAAAGCTATGCTGTAGTATACCGAAGAGGATGAAGTAGTTGCATAAGACTTAAAGAGGAAACTTCGTAAGGGAAAGGAAATAAAAAGAACAAGGTTATAAATTTCTATAACAGATGCAATGAGATATTGAATAGCAAATTGCAATTAAATGCTGATCAGGCCATTGATGGCGATGGCGGTGACGGTTGATGGAGGTGAGACGAATGCGAATGGAATGAGGAATGAATGTTAAAAAGTGCGACGTCACTATAAATTCCTTCCTTGTCTCCTGTCTTCCTTATCACCTTTCCGGAGAAGAGGGTGCGGGAGTGATACGCGCATTGCTGCTCATTCATGTTTTCCATCTGCTCCACAGCCCGCAGTAGAAACCAGTCACACGATGCAATAAAATGTGGCTTCATTGCGGTGACTAGCCACATCACCCTTCCCTCTCCTTCTCACGCCAACACCCTTTTACTTTTCCTCACTCTTTATTCATTCCAATTGATGGACTTTAAAACAGAAGCTGGCATCCTGCAGTATCTGCAGTCTCATGACGAGACGCGGAGCATTGTCGCAGTCAGGAAACTGTCTGGTGGAAATGCCAACTATGTCTACCGCGGCACTATCACCGAACCCTGTATAGATCTGTTTGGCGGTCGATCCACGGTCGTCATTAAGCATGCAGCTGATCATTCAGCTACATCCAGGGAGATGGCACTCTATGTCGACCGAATGGCTTTTGAGCGGACCATCCTTGGTATTGTGGCCGATGCCAATAACAATAAGAACAGCAACAAGGAAGATGAAAACATTGAAACGGTTATTGTCAAGGTGCCACGCGTGCTCTACTGGGACCACAAGAGCAATATTGTGATCCAGGAAGATGCTGGTATGAAATCGACGCACCTCAAGGAGTTCATCTCGTCTCTCGCCCAGCCACCGAGCCCGAGGCTGACTAAGGAGATTGGCAGTTCGCTCGGCGAATTCATTGCGCGTCTGCATCTCTATGGCTTTCGCCATCGATCGGAGCTTTACCCGAACAAGATGGCCAATACTGAGGCTCTGGGCCTGTCGCGTCTGATTCTTTATGATCAGTTCCCAAAGGCGGCGAGCAAGTACATGGAGGATCAGCCGCAGTTTGACCGGGATGTGATTGACCTGGCGTCCAAGTGGGGTGGTGACCGACTGATGAACGAGCCCGAAACACTTGCCCATGGTGATTTCTGGCCAGGTAACTTCCTCATTGATATCGCACCAGGAGAAGGAAATGAGATCACAATCAAGCATATGTTCATTGTGGACTGGGAGATGAGCCGGTATGCACCTGCAGCAATGGACCTTGGTCAATTCATAGCTGAGGCCTTTTCGCTCAACAAGTACCGCCATCCATGTGAAGAGCTAATGACCTCCTTCCTTGAGGCATATTGCAGGATGTATGGCGATCGGCTGACAACCACGGATCTCAAGACCGCTGTCATTCACTGCGGCGGCCATCTGATGGCGTGGACACCCTATACAGGCTGGTTTAAAGAAGATGAAGGCCACGACGCCAAGGCGAAAGAAATCACACTGATCGGCGCCGAGTTCATCAAACGTGCCTGGATTGAGGACTGGGCTTGGGTCCGCCAGGAAACTGCCTTCCGCGTCATGGTCGACCATTTGAAGCTTTGATCGAATCCAAGCTGTAGAACTATAAAGCTATGTTTTACAGTTGGTACAAAAAGGTTCTCAATGAGCTTTATTTATTATTTTTGCTCCAGGAACAGTATAAAAAAGGATGAAAGTGATTTCTTTATTTTAGGTCAGGTTCAAGTTATTATTTTTCCTCACTAATAGCACCGCAATAACAGATAAAAATATCTCCAATTTAACAGCGCCAACAGTAAACAATGACCCACTCTTGAGTGATAATGTGAATCCTATTTTTTTTATTTTCGATGTTTGAGATGCTCAGGTGCAGAAACAACCCAAGGGCTCACCTCTGGATGCGCTGATTTCAAGCGTGTATGGGATAACTGGAGCTGAGGGACTGAAGATCGTAGGGAGCTTTATTAGGAATAGCTGAAATACAATTGATGAGAAGCTATTTCTCTTGTGTATCAATGTATAGAATAACAAATCGGAGATAACTAATTTTGAGACATGGTGTTCCTTGCCACCGCCCTATTTCTTTCTGAAATAATGCTTGCAGGCATGTTGGCAAGTTTGCTAAAGCATTTTTCAGTTTTAAAGACATTGATAATTTCTTGTGATGCTTGTGCTACATCAGTTTTCTTGTTCTCCATTGGCCTATCGCTATCTTCGAGACCCGTGTTGCAACATTTATAATAATAAAAAAGAAAAAGAATAAATAAAGAGAGTAAAAGTTAAAAAATAAATGGAAAACGAGAGTAAAGGGCAAAGGTGGAGATCTTGCAGAATGGCTCTGAGAGATCCAGGGTGTGGTAGTTCAGTATGCTTTTACGTAAATGATCACAGTCACACATCTCTTTTTCTTTATGTTTGCCAATTAAAAGGTTATTTTCTGTGCGCCACCCATTTGCCTTTTGAGTGTCTTACATTCTGCTTTTAGTGCCTTTCAATTTAGTATCGTTAAAGAGAAGAGTAGAAAAGTAGCCAAAGCTATCGTGTTGTTTTGGATGGAAAGGATTGAAGCAGGGGATAAAAAGTATTGGAGTGGCTTACACATTTGCCTTCATAAGTGCAGCGAGTGAAATCGTTAATATCACTTTTCTTCAAACAAAAACACCTGCATTCTCACTCACGACATTCCAATAAATCTCATCCTCTGTTGCTTTTATTTTATTTTATTTTTTTTTCCTACATTTTAGCATTCAATCACCAAATGTCAGACGAAATTTCGCTCACCTGATTCTCGATGGAGTTGTCGCATTCTCAGTGGACATCAATCCTCAGAAAACTATCAGCCATCTCAAGGAAGCCATCAGGATAGCTTGTGGGCCTGATCTTGATCATCTTTCCGCTAAAAACCTCATCTCCATAAGGTTTCGGTTCGCGATGAAGGCGTTACAGTCAATCTCGGCAATGTTGAATCAAAGGAGCCACTCATCAAAGCAACAAGCAAGATCAACATATTTGGTACATCACTTCTGCCTAAGGAAACTATCTACGTCTGTTCAGCGGCCATCGACAGGAAAAGGATTGGCTGTTTGTTCTCTCTGTTCTAGTATTTTGTGTATGGCGTCATTGTTGCGACTTCCGTGGACTGATGGTTTCGGCTTTACTTTTTTAATGATTATAACGATGACACTGTTTTTTTTTGAAATTGATTACGCTTCATTAACCAGTATTATTTTTATCCTATTGAGATGTTTTCTAGTGTTCCAAGGAGATCAAAATTATTTTTATTGCTGTTGCCAGGCAAGATCCTTTTATTAAGAACCCGCCATGGCCGTCACACAATGTTCTGACCTTATGAATAAAAATGGAAGTGCCCCTGAGGTGCACTCCCAAGCCTCGATACGTAACACCTATTCCTATAGGCACAGTTGCTGGCCTTTCGACATTGCCAACAGGTATCCATATTTAAATTGGGTTGATCACTGAGGCATCTTTCATAGAGGTATTTGACCAGAAAACATTCTAATTAGGCGAGATGGTCAAGTCAGATGTTTTTCAATTATTAATTTTGGATTCTTTTCACGTGAGAATAGACTTCAGTATGGGAAAGAAAGATTAAACCATCTGTTTAATGAGATGACCTAAAGTATGGTTAAAGGTGAGTGCTTTATGCCCTCCGCCTCCAGAGGATCCATGCAAAATATACAAGCAGCAACTGATCCACATTCCATGCGAGGCAAAAACAAAGATCGAGTGGCTCCCACTGCCATCAGCATCCATTACACCGCAGAGGCTACGGCATCGTTCGTAAATATGATGAAAGTGGCATCAGAGATGGAATCCAAGATGTTGTTAGTTGGTATGGATGCCCGACCGTCTGTCTTGGAGCTCCATGACTCATTTAATAACCTTAGTCGTACTGCACACAACAGAAAGAAAATCCTAAATAGCATTAAGAAACCAGCATTCGACCGAGATTATAAGATGATTGGACCCACCAGCTTGCTGGAAGGTGAAGCTCTCATATTATAATTCAGGCAGAGTTCATGAAGGAGATGCTTCAAAACATGGATAGTTGTATGCAGACCGACTCTATTGAATCATTTGTCCATGATGAAAATTTCCCGAATATCAGTATTATGTTCAGAGGCGCGTCCAATTTTGTAGCCAACAGGACGGTATCAGCGGCAAGCTAAAAGAATAGTAGTCAATGTCCCAAGCAACATCAAGAAAGGGAGTGTTACAAGGTCCTACCACTTTCTCCGAACTTGCCTCACCAAGCTATCTCAAGGGCAGTACGACGAAGCCGTGCGGCAACTGAGAGTACGAATAACACGAGCACAGCATCTGCAAAGAGTAGAATTAATTAGAGAAAAATATATAGGAATCATCTAGGATTTGTGCGGACGCGTTTTCAGCATCGATGTTTCTTTATTTGTGAATGCTTAGAATCAGCGCATGCTTGGAAAAAAAATAGCATTTTTGTTATTTAGGTACGCAGTACGAGTATGTCATATTAGACACCTGATACTAAAATCAATACCATCGTAAAAAATCAATCAACAAAAAAAAAAATCAGCAAACATCATATATCAAACTATATCATCACGATGCACCATGTCCACCATTTACTTGCCTCCACTCTTTTAGTGCATCAAGTAGCATTTACCATTTTTCATTTTTTATTCCCTACCTAAAAAAAGCAAAATACCTTTCCGGCCCCTTTTTTGCTAGAGGTATGTTACCGAATCTATACAGATATAAAAAGATCGTATTGATTTTAGTATCAAGTGTCCAGTATGGCATACTAGTACTGCGTATCAAAGTAACAAAAATGGTATCAATGAAAGATTTTAGTATCACTTTCCATGGGCATTGTGCGGATCAGTTTTTGTGTTAGTATCACCTGCATCTTTGTTTATGAATGTCTAGTATCACTTCTATGTGCTCTCAACAAAAAAAAATGGGCGCTAGGGGCGGGGATGGAAATAATACTAATATGCGTTTACGGGATTCATCTCTACAACACTCCCAAAGTGCCTGGGTGCTCCATATACGTATATCCGCGTTCTCAGGAACCATAGAAACCAAATGGTCTATACGACAGATTTTGTGACGAGGAATGGGGTTTGGACACTTTGTAATTGTGAAAGGGGGATTGTATAATAGTTGGCCACCTTTCCCGTGACATGCCTCCAAAGAATGGCAAAAAAATCGGTATGCACTGAAGTAAATACTAAAATCTGCAACTTTAGTACTCAACTAGTATAAGTACTAGTATGTCATACCAGTTCTGAAATACTAAAATCTGTACACTCTTTTTTTTAGTATGTCACAGCAGGTCAGTTGTTGTTGTCCTTTGTTTCTAATGTTTTATTATTTTGGAAATGGTAGGGTGCTTTAAAAACTATCATCGATGGCAAGGCCTTTACTTTCCTGCAAACACAGGATAGCAGTATCTGAAATCATTGTGTGAAGTGCCCAATATGCAAAAGAATAATTTCTAGACAGCATGCAAATGCTCACTATAAAACACAACACAGTCTAAAGAAAGAGAAACAAGGAGCAAGAAGAGACCATCAAAAGATGTTAACGAAGTTAACTCTAAAGCATGGGATGATCTTTGGGGTTCCCTACCCCATTGCAACCACTCATTAAAGACATCCTTGAAAAGTCACCATTCATTGACTCTTTATCAACACGCCATTACATCGAGCTGTCAGAGACGGCAGCCAAATTGCTGAACCTGCATTGTATCCGCAGCGACGGCAGATCTCGAGTCACATTCGCTCTGGTGCGATCATGTTTTACACTGATCAAAGTGGCCAAAGCTGTGTCTTAATCAACGAAATTGAATCCCATGGCCGGTCTAGGATGATTAGTTGTCATTCGGGACAAACAGCAACAGTGAAGGGTGTGCCAAAGAACTCATCGCTTCCAGGAACAGTCCGAAAAGACAAATACAAAGGCATCCATTCAGTTGCCCTGCAAGAAAAAGATGGCAAGCAGTTCATCAATGGCACTTTCACGTGCCACATCCTGGTACAAGCTGTGTTCGTCTTGATCCAGGAAAAAAAACAGCTGTTTCTGTGGACACTTATGATCTCTCCAGGTGTTCTGGACCAGTCACTGACTCAGTTTTGTACCGTCCTTTGACCGCCTTCACTTTTGCCAACTCGGGCAGTGGTCAAGGAGCGGCATTTGCAGCAGGTTTCATCTTTAACAAAATTGGTGAGGCTGTCATTCTTCATCAGGAGGATGCTGTTCTTACTCGAGAAGATGTTGAACATTTTCACAATCTTGCAGGTTCCAGTACGGAGTTCAATCTCCCACTTTCCGAAATTCTGAAGATCTTCCTGGAAGACCAAAACGAGATCAACGTGATCGGAAATACCTTTCTTAATTCACAACTCCAAAAGCTGGTAAAAGCTCTTGCAAGACGAATTTCGATTGCAAATAGAAATATCGCAAAGGCATTCCATAATTTATTCACATTTTCAAAGTGAACAAAAAAAAAAAAAAAAAATTGTTTGTCGTGACGCGTCCGTCCATTTGTCTCTTCATCCAGCTCATTATTTATTATTATTTTTTTTTTTTAAAATCATGTGGAGAAGAAAAGAACAAGTCTAGCTCTTATTTATCGACTGAACCCCTTAAACTTCTACCCTAAATAGTGGGCTTAATCTCAGCTGATCGTAGCAACAAGGCCACTCTACAGCTTACAATACCCCGTTCAATTAAAGTCGTCTACAATGCATTTATCTCCAATATTTGAAATTAATATTAGCAGGTACCACACAAGACCATGATTCAGGAACCGAAGCTCTATTCGTATTCAACTAATTATCGGAGAAGGCGGTAATCGCCGCGTTCTAGCGCGGATTCTGACTTAGAGGCGTTCAGCCATAATCCAACGGGTGATAGCTTCGGGCCATTGCCTGTTCAGGCAGGCCCAAATACCAATTATCCGAATGGACGGTTCCTCTCGTGCAAAGTTCAATTACTGTTGCAACAGCATTTCATCAGTAGGGTAAACTAACCTGTCTCACAACGGTCAAAACCCAGCTCACGTTCGGTGAATAGTCTAACGCTTCCTGAATTCTGCTTCAGTATGATAGGAAGAGCCGACATCGAAGGACCAAAAAGCAACGTCGCTCGCTATGATCGCCTGGCTGTCACAGGACAGTTATTATACCCTATGATAAATTTTATTGCACCTTTTCCCCGAGATGGGTTTACAGGCACAAATATGATATTACATGCTACGTGATAATTTTTACTCTTTTGACAAGCTTCTCTTTTGACAAGAAAAGAGCAAATTTCACTTTATATTTAGCTCATGTAAATTAAACTTAGAATAGAAATGCTGGTAAAATGGCCATTTTTAACAAAAATTTGGCCGTCATTCTTTTTTTTTTTTTTTTTTTTTTTTTTTTCGTTGTAGAATCTGGTCCATCATTGATGTGATTTGTCAATATTTCGTGCATACGAAGATCTTTGCGTTGTACATGTACCTTGATGCTACTAAAGACCCATTCGGTCGCATTGGGGTAAGAGGTATAGGGATGCAATCGCAAGTAAACATGCCTATTACCATTCAAAGTGTCGTTTATCCCTTGTAGTTTATGGAAAGAGACATTATCCATGATGGTAATTCCCGCGGTTCAAAGAGCAGAGATAAGTTTTTCGGCCAAAAAAAGCTTGGAAAACTTGAGCATTGAAGAGAACTAAACGCACTTCTGAAGCGGTAATGCCTTTGTAGCCAACAGCAACTACAACAGAAACATTCTATCCTCGTTAGGAAGGGCAAGTTTTTAATGCCTTTTTTTCTCGAGTGCTCGACTAAATTTATGCGTAGGATCCAAGTTGAAACCCGTTTTATCTACGAACACGGCCTTCTTTAGGCTCCACTTATAACCAAATCATTCGTCCATTGGACGCGAGCAGCAGTTCTCTCTGGACTGTTGTAACCTTCTGGCTAACAGTGCGTGAGCTTGAGTGTGTAATCCACTTGTTTATGAATAGCTCTGGAAACAAATGAAATGGACAAAGGAGGGTCGAAGCAAAGTACCTATTAAGTCATTAAGGGATTGATGAAGACTAGCGATAGAAAGGTTAGGACCTTCATTAAGCTTAGCTTGTAACCATGCTATATGTCCTTGTTGAAGGACTGTATGGCGGTTACCACCTCTTTTTTCTACTCTCTCCTCCTCTTCAAAAACCCTTACAATGTTTCTCACAGTGGAATGTAAGTCAAAGCGACGAACAGTCTTTGCAGGAGTCAATCCTTCATCAAAGATGGAACTGGCATTTTTTGACGAAGATCGGAATCAATGCGTTAATAGCTTTTGAACGTGGCATGGTGTAGTGTTGAGTCAAAAAGAAAAAGAAAAAATCTGTAAAGGCGAGACAAACGGAGTATGCCATGTATAAATCGGCTTTCTTGATTTACTTGTTGCAACAAGTCAATTTAACTGATCAATATTAAAATCTACACTATTTTTCATGTCTTGTAATGTTGCGACCTAACTTGCACTTATTCTGGCAGCCACATCCGTCAATTTTCCCTCTCTTTCAATCCAGGCTCTCCATGTGTCAAGTGAACCGCTGACAAAAAACTCTGCTTCCAGTGTATAAGAAATGATCCATCGCTCAGTTGCCTGGTATCATGATGCTACTCAACGTAACCATGAGTTTGCTTTGAAACCAGATAACTACACTGAATTCAAGATTTGTTAACAGAAGACTAGTGAGAGTGAGCTTCAACATCCAGTAGTGTTTTCTGTAGTGACAACGAGAAGTGCTCACCTCTTGAGTCAAGCAACACCACTCAAGCAGCAAATGTGTAGAAGCACTAGTCGGGTTTATTCTTTTCATCCCTTTTTAATGAACAGAAGTCCACTTTTTAATAAACCTCTCTTTCGTTCTCGTTTATCCCAGAGTGTTTAGCCACGATCCATAGTCCGTCTCCACACATATGTTCCCATAATTTACAGTTCTCAAGAGGCAAAAGAAAGGCACATCTTCTTGTCTTTCTTTCATGATTCAATAAACTGAAGTATATCCCGCTCAAGGATAGGCATCTTCAGACTACAAAGCAGAAAGATACAAGAAGCTTATGAGAGAAAAGTATGGATGGACGGTCTGTTGGGAATAGTGGCAATGCTGCATGTGGTATAGTCTATTACTGTCAAATAAAAAAAAGAAAAAAAAATATGACAAAATATCCATCATGAGGTGGCAGCAAAAGGCCAATCCTTGTAGGTTTCTACACCTTGGAGCAGAGATTGGCTCTCGGATGTGGGCTCGCCCCATTGTGCGATGTTGTCGATTGAATGTCTGCCATACGCAGTCAAAGGTCCTGCAATGTTTCGCTGCTGAATCTCCGCGCAATCATTCCACCCGCCAATGCGACAGATCTGCCCCTTGCGGACATACTCCATGAAACTGCGGTAGGCTGCCATGTCATCACTTGGTTGACGACCTCCTGCTGCCGCTTCTTGCCGCTCGCGCATCCAGTCGTTCTGCCGGTTCTCGATAAACTGGACCAGGCGGGGTACATCAAGATAGCGAGGCATGGCCTTCCAGTAAAGCTCCCAGAATCCGAAGGTACTCTCTCCATACTTGTTATATAGTGTAGTTGAGGCCTCAGGACCTAATAGCTCTTCAAACTCCTTTTCTGCAAGAGCTTTAGCCTCTGGATGTGATTTCACATAGGCTCGATGCGATTGTATCATCTTCCCTATCTGGCCCTGCGACATGCTCTTCTTTTCCTTGTCTGACTTGACCATTGATGGGGGGAGACCCAAAACGAGCTGGGAATGTTTCAAATATCTTTCAGCAAGATCTGAGTCACGGACATGTGGGCACTGTGCTTTGGTCACTTCGTCCGGATAGTTGGATGGCCCACAGACTGCAGACATGAAACGTTGTGCAAGCACTGTTGTCGTAAACTTGAACCATGACTCGGCATAACGGGTGCTGTCAGCACTGATAATCGTGGGAATCGGATCACTGGTGGGCATGAACAACGAGGTACCAATAGCGTTACCATGAGGTGAGACAAGCACTTGAACGTCACGTAACAGATACGCCGTCTCGGCAATACCGCATCCATGATCAAATGTCATCCACTTGACCCGAAACCCGGCTTTGACCAAGGCTTGGATAAAGGCCTCGTCATTGATGAGTCGTCTCGATCCTTCGCGTTGAATGATACCCACAACAAGCTTGCGCTCGTGTGACTCTGATGATGCTCCAGTGGTTATGTTCTTAGATCCTTGCTCGCTGTTGACGACATCCGGATGCAGTTGATCAATTTGCTTCGACTTTTCGTCTCTTTCCTGACTGTAATCCTGGCCAACTCCATCAAAATTATAGTACCGTGCGAGATCCAGACACTGGAGTGAGTTATCCTCGGTCACTCGATGGAGTGCAAGATGGGAATCCCATCGACCTGGTGTCCCCCAGTAGTGGTCAGCAATCTCGTCTCTGAATGCCTTATAAACCTCTGCGGGGATATTGTTTTCGCAATAACTTAAGGCGCATTGTGAACCGAGACCGATTACAGCACGCTTGAAGCAGATGGGAGCATCTGACGGTGGCAATGTCTGAAATGCTGTTGCTACTTCTTCAAGGTGTAAGACAATCTCCTTGCCAGTGTAGAAAAAGTGATCCATTTCCCATTTTCCCTGTTGTTTGATATCATCCGAACTGAATCGGGCGCCTCGGAAGAGCCAAGAGTTTTTTGTGGCTCCAAATCGCTTCATGGTGCTACGTTGTGAAATTGAATATTAGCCTTGCGAACACGTGTGCTTATTGCAAGCGACATGCGGGCCCAGATCCGAATGGACGGAATAGCGTTGCTTACGAGTAAAGAGGCATCATGCCGTTGTATAGCCAGTGACTAAAATGATACGGCGAATAAAGACCATGGACAAAGAGCGTTTCGTTGACATAGTGCGCCCGTATGAACTTTCGCCACGCTCTTTCAACCCTCGGCTGCCAGAAAACATCTGATGTTTGGTCAGAAGACATGAGGTTCACTTTGGGCATGTTCTCTGCAAAAGAGCTCGTGCTTCGAATAAAAGCGCCTAAAAGAAAAAATCAAATAGGAATAAGGAAAAAGCTAATTGATTTAATGTAATAGAGAGTGGAGCAGAGATCAATAATACTACCTTTTCGATCGATACACAGGTTCTCAACAATGCACTGGCGAGTTCTGCGGTTCTTTTCAGTATTCTTCTCCTGCTCTGAGAGACCATCGTCTGTGCATGTCCATGTTGTCGGTGGTACCTCAACCTCAAAAGCCTGGGTGTTGCCTCTCCAAACATTCTTTTCTCGTGGAATGTGCTCATGGAACATGACCAGCACCGAGCCAAGTGATAGAACGGCAAGAAGTACGATGAGGATCACTCGCTGTCGCCGTCTTGGGCCCGGAAGTCGCCGTTGAATGGCCTCCACAACGGCAATCAAGTGGTTGGTCATGATGTGAGTATAGAGCTAGAAGATTGCGTAAAGAAGGAAATTGATTTAATGCATTTCTACAGAATGGGTTAATTTACATGCTTGTCCAAATGAAGAATAGCAAGGTGCTTTACATGTGGATCCCCCCCGAATCGATGAAAATGATGAGTTGATGATGGGCTAAGAGGTGTGGAAGTTCATCCTACAAAAGACAAACCTTAATTAATAGTGGCTTAGGATCAAACCCTACGGTGTATTCGCCTAGTCAACAAGTTAACCGTCGCCACCACTGTGTTTTACTTGGGGAGCCTATGTTGTAGTTACCAACAGTCTTTGTAGGGAGCATCTGGGCCTGTGAATCCAAAGGGATTATTCAAGCCCCAAAGACTCACACTCCAATTGTAACTCTGTCGAACAATTCTCTCTCTTGTTCAAGAAACTCAAGTAAGGCGCACCCGTCATTGAAGCCGTACACCATGCCATATAGCTGCTCCTCATCCTCTACTTGCTGGCCTAATATCCCCTCTTTAACCTCCACAGGCCGTGCTTGGGCGGTACGTGGCACAGCCCGCCGAGATCGCCGTGCACGGATGATGCGTCGTACACCTGATGTGAAGCTGTCCGACAGAGAAATGATTTTCGAGTGGCTCGAATGACTATAAAGAGAACGAAAGAGCTTGGTAGGCAACTGGCCTCTTGGAGGTGCAGGCGATGGCGAACGTATGGGACGGGTGGAGGCAGACGACGACAAACGTGTGGAACGTGTGGCACGCATAGTTTTTTTTTTTTTTTTTTTTTTTTTTTTTTCTTTAAACAGATTAAATAGACGAAAGCAATGGAGACAAACGCCTGGGAAAATTGATTTAAAAACTCTTTATCGGGAACTTTCGAATAATACAACATGCAGCCTATTATGTATAGCTACTGCATCCGCCTGATGAGAACATAGTACATTATCGTGGAGGACCCTGTCCGGGTTTTTCCTTCTGTGGCAGCCCAAGGCCTTGACTTCAAATAGCTCCATGTCCTTGCCAATCAATCCAAACACATGTCGAAAGGATGAATAACTACTTTGGAGAAATAACTGTCTCTCATTCATCATAGGGAGGATGCTGCCTTCAGGGGGCCTGGGAGAGGTTGACCCTGGTCTGATCACCTTCATATGCGTCATATATCTACCCATCCCGCTATTCATGGTTGCGAAACGCTCTGCTCTCCGCACTTTGCCCACTAAAAAAGTTCTACCAAGCGTGGAATATGCTCTAGATGAGGGATTTTTAATTGACCTCTTCCACAGCACAACAAAAATTCTGGTCGGTGTTTACTGCTGTCATGAACGCGTTTTTGAGGAATATGAAGGCATCGCAATGAGGGCAGCAGGTCATCGGCTCTAAGCGATGCTTATGGCGCTTGGTGCCGAGGCCTGAGATCAAATCTTTTTGGAATCTCTTTCTACTGAGAGAGAGGGAGCCATCTTCATTTTCATGCTAGGAGTTCGCACTACTATATTCAGATAGACCCACAAATTTACAAATATGTTATAAGGATTTCTTTAAATTGATTATATTTTTTTTAAAAATAAAATAAAAAAATAAAATAAAAAAAAAAAGAGGTAAAAAGAAAGGCATACTCTCAATTACGGTTCTGGCCTGGGCAATTGCATACTACATACTCAAGCTACAGAAGATTGATAGGTAGACTGTATTCTGAAGACAAGCGCATCAGATATAAAGTAAATGTAATACGAAAATAAAAGGAAATAAACAATAAACAAAAAGTAGTCTTCCTTCGCCTTCATGTGGGTCTTTCATTTTCAGTTTCAGGGTCATAGTCAAAGCTTTGCCCGCTCCATGATTGACTTCGTTTTGCATATGACCGCTAAGGCAATGGACAGTAAAAATCTGTTAAAGTCATATTGGTGGCGAGGATGATTATACCGAAGCATTGAAAATATGTAGAACCTGCCCCTCAGTACTTGGGCATGTATTTCGATTATACCCTGGGCAGCTGCAAGTGCTACACACATGCATCCTTGGGGGCTGTCTGACAGTATCTGTCTATATCCTCGGCTTCATTCTAGATAATAAATTTTGACACTTTTATTCCAGGCGATTTTCCTTGAAAACGCTTGACTTCATCCCTGCCTGCTTGTTTGTACAGCTTCGTGTTCAAAGGCTCCACTTCAAATAACAGCTCTGTCAAGCAACTGGGGCAATTGACGGATGCAGCTTCATAGTTCACACACGTCCCATACATCTCCAGAAACCGTGGCTGGTAAACTGGTGGTGGAGGAGTTGCAGGAGCTGGCTGCTTGGAGAAGGACAAATACACCTATATTGGGAAGAATAGCCAATGTTCAAGAATGTCTTATAACCAATTTCGACTGCAACCTCGACTCTTCCTGCCTTTTCTTCTTCAAGTACTCTTACCTCTCGCTCATTCCTCTCCTCTTCTTTTCTCTCTTGCCCGAAAAAGGCAAAAAGGGCGTACTCGTTGATAGAGCTGTAGATCCTGTCATACAGTCTCTCCTCAACCTCCTCCGCTGGTTGCTGACTTTATAGTAGTTCCTCTTCAGTGCCCATGAATCGTTCTTTGATACGTTGACAGCCCGCCGAGCTCGTCGTGCTTGAATAATACGTTGTACACCAGGCGTCGATCCATCCAAACATGTAATAGGTGAAGTTGTGGAAGGAAGGAACAGAGATATAACATTGAGGAAGCCAATTATTGATAAACGCTACTTGACTTTCGTGCTGATTAATTAGACAAAATGACAAGCAAAATTATTTTTGCATTCTTGATGGCGATTCTTTTAAGCAACGATACAATTGGATCTCCGGAACCTTTTTTTTTTTTTTTTTTTTGGATTCATTGATGGCTTGTAAAGCATATCCAAGTTTGTGAGAGGGCATCAGAGTGCAAGCTACCAGTGGATAGTACTTTGTTCGCCAAGGAAACAGCAGGTCTACTGCTTTTATCGAGGATCGTCATCCTCAAATACTGCCTTTCCATTCCAGGGTCTGCCAAACCTCAAGTGCAAGTTGGATGATACTCCAAGTTTGTCTTGCCACGTTCATGGATGTATTTTCGGCATTGTTCACCATGCTCATTACCCAGCTGAACCTTCAATCAACCACAGCATCAACATTATGGACCGTTGTGCAAAATGGGTTTGTTTCAGCTATCCCAATTTTAGCAATGAGACGACACTTCGACTTGTTGTAGATGAAGCATGAATTCTTGGCAACCAAGGATATGGGTTATTTATGTCGCCATCATCTGCAGCCTCAGATCCTCGACTGATATTATCTCCAGTCCTTTATTTTTTATTTTTTGCAGCTTAACCATGTTAATAAAATAATTTGGCTGTTCCTTCGCGATGGAAAGTGTATTTTCTTCTTCTCCATTTCATTCCTAAGTGCATTAGCACCAACTCTCTCACTCTCATCAGCCTTGCCCTGATGGCACTAAATTAATTTTAACCCAATCATACCAAAATGACAAGCAAATAAAAAAAACTCTTTTACTCTTTTGCATTCTCGATGGCAATTTGCCGCTTTCCAGTATCATAGTTAATACAGATCGCGTATTTGATTCGTATTATAAACCACATTGCGATTAGAATCGCCAATACTGACAATACAATCGATAGCCTCAGAGAGAATTTAATTGCATTCAGAAACATTTTGATGTAGACTCGTTGAGTCTTTGACATGTGTCCATTCCAATCGGAGATGATGAGGACAAGCCTATTTTATTTGATGACTAACATTATTGTTCCGTGAGTTTTGGCAGGTGAGGATTATTCCGATTAGCATTTGCATCAGGTCAAGCATTCATTAATTAATGCTTCTTTTTTTTAGATGCATTATGCAACCATTGTTATTCAAAGACAACAACTGTGTCAAATTCCTCAAAAGCCGCCTCTCAGTAGATCAATCTTGCCATCTCGCAAGCACAGAGCGAAAGAATTGGCAATAAAGCAGTGTTCTCTATGACTATGCTCTTGCTTCTCATGACTGGTGTGGTATAGATTCTACGACATTCATCTTCCAGCTAGGCCATACTCAGGTGCAGACTACCTGAACAGTAAAGGACTACATCACCGTTTTCTAGGTTTTCAAATGATTGAGTACATTTGGGTTTACATTGGAAGGAGCTTGACGACAATAAAAAACACCGAGGCGAGTGAATGAGCTGTACAAGATATTTGGATGTGCATACTTATTGAGGTTATCCAAATATTGTACAATGCTTGTCAAGGCATTTCAAGAAACTTCATAAAGTCAAAGGATATCACATCAAGTATTAATGGCTTGACGAAAGTAGACACGCAGCTCCAGCAGAGACCTCTGCTAAAACGAACATTTCGAGGAAAACCATTGCATTGAGTACTAAAACTGAAAAAAAAAGGAAAGTAGATCAAGATCTGTTCTTTCGGTGAGGAAAGGCCACCATGGATGGGATATTAATCCAAAGGCTTGAGAGTGAGCAACGATTTTTTTTTTCTCAGTCAAAAGTAGAGAAAGCATTTGTGAATTCAAAGTCGTGTCTTCAAACTGAGATATATATTTGTGCCCACAGAAAGGGTATGACTGCACACTCAAAAGTGTTTCATCATTGAAATAATAATTTCAATCGGAATTAAAAATGATCAGTTAATCAGATTTTCAATGTGTTCAATCATCAACCAGATTGGTTTGTGTTAAGTGACATACAAGAGATGTGCTCAATGCTAGGCATCCACAAGAGTTTAATGAGTCCATCAGACACATCTTTCTGGTTGTAACATTTACATGTATATAGTCACACCTCGATGCAGACAAACTGAACTGAAGGAATGGAGAAGCTTAAAAATAACAGAAATGGAAGGGTGAAACATCTCGCGGGGCAAACGGTTTTAGATGCTCTCCTTCCAGGCTCTCAAATCAATATTGTTATTATTTGAATGTTCCACAAGAAACAAAATCTCTCCATCAATCTCACTTGATGTCAATCTCTCAATCTCTTCATTCGTCCAATGTCATGATGGAGCACATGGACTTTTGTTTTATTTCTATTGATGACTGTAGTTACACCACCAAAGCAGTTGTTGAAAGACGTTAACAGGATGAACTAGTGTATTTGTTATATTTATTTCAATTTCTAATTAAGAATTAAATGGTAAATTGGATAGAGAGGAGAGAGTGATGATAATGTTATTTACTTCTTGGGCTTGTTATACTTTGCAAAGTGGATCTTTCGGCATCCTCCTCGGCACTTGTGGAGTGCTCTTCTGAATCCTGGCAAGGTGCGGGTTCTGAACTCGGTCCATTGCTTGTTGGTGAATCTATCCTTTCTATAGTTGAACCTCTTGGAGAAGTAAACATCCTCGTTTTTACCTAGCGTTTTAGAATTGCACAAAACGTAGGCTTCAAACTTGGCTCTTGTGACCTTTGAAGCTTTACCCTTCAACTTTCTGAGCTCTTTAAGGCATGGCTAGTATTCGTTTTTTTTTTTTTTTTTTTTTTTTTTTTGGGAAACAAAGAATTAATTCATTAGTCCAAGTGAATCATTAAAAAAAAAAAAAAAAAAAAAAAAAAACTTTTTCTATCGAGCGAAGAGAAGTAAAACAAATAAAAAAAAAATTGGTACCTGAACAATTGGCTGCATATTCTTCACCATGTAAGGCATTCTTCCGTGAGGATTCATTCTCATGAATTTATCCACTGTGTGATCTGGTTTATGACCAAATGGTGGTTTGAGGGAAATGCATTGGGCTTGGCAGTCAACTACACGAGCCATATCCTCTGGTGACCAATTAGGAGTTGGAGCAGGCTTAGGTTTGGGTGCAGGTGTAGGTGTTAGTGTAGATGTAGGTGTAGATGTAGGTGTAACCTTCTGGGCAGCGACTCCCAATAAGACAATGCTCAGAGCCACTAAGGCTGACGAGAGTGATTTGATGGCAACCATGTTTAAAAGTTTAAAAGTGTAATGGAAAGGTGTGGGTGAGTGGTAGTAGTAAAAAAAAAAAAAAAAAAAAAAAAGTTGAGAAGAGCTTCATCCTTTTATACGCTCAATTTCTCCTGGGTCATTTAAATAAAATAAAGTTATTTTTAGTGCTCTTACACTAAACAAGCACTTTATTGATGGCAATTAACATGACTTGCTCTCACAGAATAGAGTTGGGACCATCCAGGGTATACACAGATGAGCGATATTTCAATATTCTTCACTAATGGACAGCTTCGTCTCTAGACCCTTTGAGGTCAACCAGCGCTTCACAATGCTTTTCATTGTTTCCACAAGTCCTTCTCAACCCTTCATTCCAAACGCTTAATGTCAGTGTTACGAAAAGGTTGATATCGGATAATCCTTGGTACCTGAAGGGAAAAATACCTCTTTTATTGCTCTTTTTTTTTTTTTTATTTTACTTTTGGAATATAACTCAAACAAACATGTCCACGTACCAATTGCTACACGATGCTCTGAAGCTAAAGAGAAGGGAAACTTTCTTTTATTAATATTTTCCCGTCATCTATTAAAAACACTGGAAGGTTTTTAGATATCTTTTTTTACGTATAAACTACATGTACATATATATATATAGTACATGTACATGTACTATAAAAGATAATCTTTCAGAACAAGGAAACAGAACAAGTGATAGAGTAGCAATTGCTTTCGAAGAAGAGGTAATATATATATATATAATACGTACATATTATACAGATATTAGCTATACAATATCATCAACAACATTGAAAAACGGTTCATTTCCTTTTCCGAGCTCAAAAAAGACATTGCATTTTTGGCCAGATTGATTATTACTTGTGTATTGAAAATAAAGGCTCAGAAAAGTGACTCTAGAAAAAATTTCGTCGTCAACAAATGGACGTGAAGGTCTTACTTAATAGACTAACGCCAAAATCGAGGAGAAAGTCCTGGGTATGTGGAATATCTTCAATTAAACAAAGCTTGGTAAGGTGTTTGTTTGCTGCGCCAAATTCGGCAGTTCTATACATTTCTCCTGAATGATGGTTTTAACCATGTTTAAAAAAAGTTTAAATTTATCCTTTCATTGCAGGCGGGAAAAGGTAATTAAGCCACTATAGAGATACGAGGTACAAGCCCGTAGGGTTGTCGCGATTGGCTCTTGTCTCTCTAGAAAGTTTATATTCTTTTTTTGATGATCTCTGTGTAATAAACGACAACAAAGAAAATCGTCAACATGATTAATGATTTTGTATAGGAACTGGAGCGATATTTGGATAGACAGTTTCAACTCAGCGTCTAGAGAGTAACAACAGGGTACTCAAGCACGTATTACTATTTTTCTATCTTTTTTTTTTTTTTTTTTTAATTTTTTAATTTTTTTTTATATATATCCCTCTGACTATGGAACTGATCGCAATCAGATTAGGTCAACAGCTTCAAGTCGACGATACGGTTTCAGATGTGTGGCAATTCATAAACAAAAAATAATGTGACACAAGGAGGGCATCTAGCAAATACAGCCAGCACACAACAGATGAGGTCGAAGGCTTTGCTCAAACCTCCATTGCCCCTGCATGTCATCAATTTGAAAAGCATTGTCAAACTCTTAAGGCGCCTCTTGAAGTTAACCAAGCCCAAGCCAAGCCCAAGCCCAAGTCCCTCCGATATTTCATTTAGATAGTAAAATGTTGAAGCTTCACTTGTGAATTAGAGAGACTGGAGCTTGGAAATGTCAGCAGTGTATTTACGAATATAACCAGAGTCTTCTTAATGCTAGTTGTTGGAATAACCATCTTTGCTTTAGGCAGTATATCCCAAGGATGGGTGAAGTCATTTTATACTGCATATTTCTCCCTTCAACCATTGGGTTGCGAGCCCGTGTATATATCACGTGATCCCACAGCACTTTACCACCCTCATTTTGGACTGAACATATTTTTTTGCAACATCTTTCTTTTTTTAAAAAAAAAAAAAAAAAAAAAAAAAACACGATGTTGGTTGAGCAAAAGTAAAAACTCTTTTACACACTCAGAACCATCTACTCACTGGTCCTTACGGTACCTCCATCATTTTGTTGCACAGTGCGCCTTGATTCTCCAGACTTTGAATAGCTGATTTTTCAATGTCATTGTACATTTCCCTATCTTCTGAGCACCAATCCCTAAATAACAGCCTATTCTTCGATCGCTATCAGTTAATGCTCCTCATAGACCCCTTCAAGTTCTGTGCCACAATTGTAAATAGGACACTGGATGGGTTAGGTGACTTTCAATTCAACATGGAAGCCTTGACTTTTCACACTGCCTTGACTTTTCACACTTGGAGTTCTAAGCAAAAAAAATATATATTTATACAAGGCATAATAAACTGCCCCTGCACCAAGGTACCTATTCTCTGTGGCTCAAACATTTAAAAGCCAATATCTCTGAAATTGCTGGAGCCATGAAGTCCCATCCAGCACCCATTTGAGAGGGAATCAAAATATCTTACCGCTAGTCAACTTTTACCAGATCCTACTAAGAGTGTCCTCAAAAAAAACTATTTTTTAATGTGTCAACCACGAACAATCCCCTTGGGAGTTATAGTGATGTTACATTGCCAGGCGGAGAGAAGCATTAAGGAAGGGAGTTACTCAACAGCACTCGTTGTAGGGCCGCAGGGGTGACACCTTGACTTGTTTTCGAACATGACAACTCTATTCTGCCTTGACAATAACCATTGATTTAATTTATTATCCTGCCTTACTCAAGGGTATCATGCAATTAATGCATGCACGAAAAAAAAATTAATAAATAAGTTTTCTGATATTTGGTAATTTAAAACACTCATTCTCCTTATTCATGCGAAGCAAAAAAAAAAAAAAAAAAAAAAAAAAAAAGCTTTAATGGTCAGAATGAGTAATGGAGAGAGGATCAGCAGAATTTACAGAATGAGCAAAGGATAGTCTGTTTAAATAAATGCAGTAAAGATTTCTGATACCTTTTTTTCGTTGCCAGTTAGATTGGCGTTATTTAGTTGATGGCGATCCATTCGTATTTGATACTATTATCATCAGGGTCTGTAGCGACTGGTGAAAAATAGGCTCTTGATCCAGGTTTATCCTCGGGCAAAACACTGAGTTCATAGTGTCCCAAATAATCGGCCGGGCTGGTTGTCATAAAGGACAATGTTCCAGGGCGCGCTTTGGGGTTTCGAATAAAGTTTTGTCCAATTGTGGAGCCATTGCAATCCCAAAGAGCTAATAATAAAAAATAAAAAAAATAAAAAAATATATATATAAATACGAGCCGGAGATCGTGGCTTCGCCACGGTCGGCTCTTGCCTCGTTAGAAAATTCAATGCTTAGCCTCGTAAGACAACAAAAAGAAACATTGTCTACAGCAGCAAAAGGTTTATATTTTGACATAGGAATGAAGACAATAAACTCACGTAGGCCTTTGGCCTTTTACTACTGTAAAAATTATGTGTAAACTGCACGTTTTTTTTATTACAAAACTAAAATACAAAGCTAAAATACAGTAGATAAAACGCAATAAAGTAGAATACAAAATATACAAAATAAAATACAGACGAAACTACAATCAAGAGGGAGAATATCTGGTAATCACAACATTTGATAGATTAACGACGGCGAGGAGGTAACGCAGTAAATGGCAATCAAAAGACAATGTGGCTATAGAGCATCTTTGAAGACAATGTTCCGTGTGTATGTTCCTAGCCTATCTCTTACCTTGCCGTTCGCGATAAGTACCTTAAGATTATTTGGGTCTGTACACCGTGACAAAGCAACGTAGAGATGACCATGACTGAAAACATCTTGAGGAAGATAAACACCAACATGTTTGAGTGTCTGTCCCTGGGACTTGTTGACGGTCATGGCGAAGGCAGGCTTGACTGGAAATTGTCGTCTGCAGAACATGATCGGAGAAGAATGATCATCAAGTGTCGTAAGCGGTATGCGAGGAATAAAGACACACTCTCCTTGAAATTGTCCTTTCATAATCTCGGCCTGGATCATTCTTGTGCCTAATGCACGTACAATCATGCGAGTACCATTACATAGTCCGCGCTTTGGGTTCAAATTGCGAAGAAGGATGACGGGCTGACCAACCTTTAGCTCCAGTTTAAACGGAGGCAAGCCTGGCGGGGAGAGGTTGTTCAGGTATTCCACAGGATAGTGAGCCGTAGCTGCTGCTTCGGGGTCTTGAAGGCTATCTTGACCAATATAACTGACTGACTGCTGGGTGCTACAGAGCATACTGGTGGCTAGTTGATTCAGTTTATCGACATCCTCATTAAGGGGACTCAAGATAGCGCGCTCAATGAGCATCTCAGGAAGGAGTCTAGCATTTTCGATATCCGGAAATATCTGCTTAATGAGTAATCGCTCATGTTCATAGTCCTTATTCACAGCTGAGGCTTCCAGGACTAAATTGTCGGGTATCCTGACATAGTCTCCATGTGTGCCAATGGTAACTGTCTGCTCTGTTCCTTCACCAATTCGAAGCAGCCATTCAACGAACGCTTGGTTTTCAGGATGGCTATTAACTCGCATATTCTTGCTCAGCCTGAGTGTTGTCACTGAGGGCCAAATATAAGACCTTTTCAATGAAGCATCCTCAATTTGAGCCTGGGTCCCACGGACGACAACCGGAAGTACCTGCCTGAAGTCGCCTCCAAAAACAAATACCTTGCCACCAAATAGAGTGTCCTGCTCCATAATATCCCGAAGCAGCCTGTCAACAGCCTCAAAACAATGCTTATGCTGCAATGGAGCCTCATCCCAGAAGACGACGGCAGCATTACGTATTTTGACTGCAGCATCTTGCCGCATGCTAAGGTTACAGATGGAGCGACAGTCCACTGGAATTGGTATCTTAAACGTGGAGTGGGCTGTATGACCATCATGAAGGATGAGAGAGGCGATCCCTGATGAGGCAACGGCAATCACATTTAGTTTATGTTGGCCAGTGATGCAGCCAATGAGTGTGTTGTATAAAAATGATTTGCCTGTTCCTCCTGGCCCATCAATAAAAAACAATCTCTCATGGACCTCGCTTTTGGCTGCTTTAATGATGTGCTCGAAGGCGATTCTCTGATCGGAATTCAAGTGAACCACATTATTTAGCGCCTCTTGTTCAAATCTCCATTGTTTGTGTGCTTCATCGGCCTGCTCTTCCCTCTGTAAGGCATTGTCAAACTCTTGAGGCATCTCTGAAAAGTTAGCTAGGCAAGACCCAAGCTCCTTTAGTATTTCATTTAGGTCGTAAAGTGCTAAGCTTATAGCCTGTTCCTCTGCGTTGCTGCCTGCAGTAATAGTAGTCGTTTCTCCTTGTAGCCCTCTACACCTATGAAGGAAGTCTTCAGATAGGTCCCCCATGAAGCGAGTCCATAAACTCAGCGGCTCGGACAGGCTACAGTTGACCATCATAAGAGCAAATAGATGTCGCAGCATCCTAGGTGATTGATATGCAGATGCTTCTTCTAAGCAACGACACCATTCTTCATCATCCTCAAGTAGACCATGAGCAAGAGCAGCGGAATAGAACGTATCAAAAGTCTGGTTGGTTTCTGGTATCGTACGAAGCTCTGCAAAGCTCTTTGCTCCTTTGACGTGCATAAGCAATAGTCGAAGACAGTATCGCTCACGTTCTTTTGGCTGGACAAAATACATCCTGGAGAGAACCTTCGTACTATTGGCCCTAACCCTCGCCTTCCAGCTCCTGCTGCGCTTGTGCCATGTATAGTGGTAAGGTGTATCTGGATACAAATAGTATTCTGATACGCTGATATCGCCCGCAGTTTCTGCATTTGCCGCGATTGCAGCTTCTGCCCTTAAAATCTCCTTCTCGGTCGCGGCGTTGAGCTTGAACCAAGCCATTAGCTGGGTGTCTTGTCCACGGGAGACGACGTCTTCGAGGTTAGCATCGGAATTGAAGATCACTTGTTGCTGGTCTTCTAGATGAAGAGACAGTCGAACGACATTATGAGACTGTCCATATAATGCAAAACCATAGATGCGCCATAAACTCTCGCAAGTAGGCACGTAGCGGCTATCCCTATAGTTGGTGACTTCATCAGTATTATCAACTTCCCCATCTGCCGCTACAACAGCGATTGATGCTCTGTCATGGCCCTTGTGCACATATTTGTAAATATATTTAACCGACGAAACCGACCCACATATTTCGACGTTAATATGCGCATTATACTTGGTGGAAAGCCATAAGTTGTGGGGAACAACCCAAGTGTTGTCGATGGTGTTGCCTTTTGAGTTGACGAAGGAACGTTCAGGATTGTTAGGTCGACGGTAATTTGGATAGCCGTCTTCGCTTCTTGTGGTAGTTTCCAAGAACAAACGCGGGTACTTTTTACTGCATTTCCCTTCGACCATGCATGGTGCTCGAGGATTATGAACTCCACATGGCCCATGTATCATGTGGGATGTCACTGTCTCGTACGCTAGTGGGGCGCTATTTCGATCAGGAATTTCTGCAGACACAAAAGAGTCAAAATGGTCTGTTGTTCGAGGCTTGTCCCTGTCATCAAGGATTATGAGGAGGTGCTGGTGCGGCAGACCACGTTTCTGGAACTCAACGACCCAATTGTAGGCGATACCTTCCCTAGGGTATCTTTTTTGAAAAGATCGTGCTCTAGAGCCTTCTTCTTGAGGTTGAACACACGCACACAAAGGTCCGGCCGGTCAGCTGCTGTTTGGCCTTCATAAAGGGCCTCCTGAATCTCTGGCCATTGAGGATTACATGTAAAGGTGATAAAGAGGTCGGGTTTGCCAAACTTGCGGACCATGGCAATGGCATCCTGGAACAGCTGCTGCATAAACCTAGGGCCTCCGACATAGGAAGATGGTAGGATGATTCGCTTCCCAATATTCTCTGGTCTGAGATTCAACTCAATCGCATCTACTACACCTAGGTATGCATCTGCTTTCAGTTTAGATTGGTTCAAACTGATATAAAGAAGCCGAGATGTCTCCAACTTGTAATATTGGTCAACAATATATTGGTGTGCCAAGCGTGGAAGGAGCCAAATATAGGACCGTCGGTCTGTTGGGCTCATTGGACGATTCTGCAGTCTGTACGCGTAAAACTCCCTCTGACTGACGAAATCTCGTCTTTTCCTTGTCCGAACCTCGTTGATCTCTATCTGTTCATCCTCAGTCCTTTCGTCGTCGCTGCCTTCAGGGGACCCTGCAGAGGCTGATTCTGGCCTAGTCGTCTTCCTATATGTGCCGTATGTCCATCCATCCTCTCCGTTCGGATGCAAGAGTACGTAATGAAGGCTATCGTAAGATCGATGGGTTTCGTCAATCCTCTGTAAACCACCTCCCCTGTACTCAATAATGATATCCCTTTCTCTGACTTCGCTACCATCGCCAGGCATCAAAACAGCGATTTCAGAGGACGAAGGAAGATCATATTGTCTTTGGTTTTGGCCCCTTTGATTGCGTTTAGCACGGATGGCGATCCTCATTTGAGTATCTTGGCCGTTCGCGCGCTCCTTAATATTCCTGAGCTGGCGGGCCATTGGGTGATGCTGTTCAAGAAGTTGCTGTAGTTCTATAAGCAAGTTATTATCAAGAGAGTCTTCGAAATAGCCGTTGCGGACTCTGGCCTGCTCTTGGGGGTCATGAATGTGACTGTGGATTTGCAAAAACTGGGGATCTATGCCTTCGGGCGGATTCATAGGACCAATCAAGTGAGCAATGCCGCCGATGATACGGAAGGTGTACACGCCTTGTTGGCCGTTTGCAAGGCTCCTATCATGGTTCACCTTCATTGATGTAAAGGAAAGAGCACAGTTGTATTGCCGTGCATGGCTGCGGAATGCTCTGCTTTCCGCATTTTGCTCTCCAAAAAGCTCTACCAAGCGTGGGATATGCCCTAGATGAGGGATTTTTATTTGACCTCTTCCACAACATAAGGAAAATTCTGGTCGTTGTCTGCTGCTGCCTTGGATGCGTTCTTCGATAAACATGAAGGCATCGCAATAAGGGCACTGGGTCATCGGTTCTAAGCGATGCCTATGGCGCTCGATATTAGGGCCTGAGACCAAATCTTCCCGGAATTTCCTTCTACCGAGAGGAAGGGTGTCATCTTCATCACTATTGTATTTAGATAGAGCCCCGATTTTTTAAAAAAAAAAAAAAGAAAAAATTGAAAGGATTCGATTAAAATTAAAAAAAAAAAAAAAAAAAAAAAAAGAGGACTTACTTTATAACAGGACATGTGTTTCGGTTATGTCCTTGCTGATTGCATCTACTACATACTCGAGCTACGGGGGGTTGGCAGGTAGGTTGTATTCTGAAGACTGATGTCACATAAAATGCATATAATATGATATAGTACGAAAAAATTAAAAAAATTAAAAAAATTAAAAAAAAAAATAAAAAAAAAAAAAAAGGAAATAAAGAGTGAACAAAATGTAGCTCACCTTCGCCTTTGTGTGGGTCTCTCATTTTCGATATCAAGGTCATGGTCTAAGCTTCGCTCGCGCACTGCTCCATGATTGGCTTCATTTTGGATATGGCTGCTAAATCAATGGATCAATGGACAGTAATAATCCGTTATAAAGTCAAATCGATGGCGAGGAAGAGTATGATTATATGAAATATTTAAAGTACGTAGAGCCCACCTTTCAGCACTCGGACATGTACTTCGATTATGTCCTGGGCGATTGCAAGTGCTACACATATGCGGCCTTTGGGGCTGGCTAACAATATTTGCCCTTATATATATATGATGAGAATAAAATAATAGAGGGCTAAATAAATAAAATAAAAAACAAAATAAAAAACAAATAAAATAATCACTTCTTTACCCTCCCGTGGGACCAATAACCTGCTCCAGGCGTGAAGCGGAGGGAAGGTTTGTGCGAAGCTCAACACGCTCTGTTTTTTGAGGGCAGAGCCGCCTATCATGCTTTTCACTGTTGCACAGACTACAGGTGCGGACCATGTCTTTATGAAATCTAGGTGCTGAGAGAAAAATTCAAATTGACAATATTGTAATTGTGTTGGGTGAAAAAGACAGAAAAGGCCTTTGGCAGCGCTGCCTACCTACTATATCCTCTACCACATTATCGATGGATAAGTTTTGACACTTTTATTCTATTTCACCGCCAGAAATAAAAACTGGTCAAAATGAGAATGATTTTTCATTTTGACCAGTCTTTATGGATTCTCCCAGTGCTCCTATTCGAACTGAAATTTTGTCAATTATGATGTTTCAGTTTAAAAAAATAAATATCAAATGACAAAATTTTAGTTCGAATAGGAGCACTGGATTCTCCTACAGAAAACAGAGCTCTGGCGACGTTTATTGACGATCATTTATTTTTTCCGCCCTCCATAGCTTTATATTCAGAGGCTCTACATCAAACAACAGCTCCGCAAAACATCTGGGGCAATTGATGGGTGCAGCTTCATAGTGCACATACGCTTCATTCATCTTCTCTGAAGATTGTGATTGATAAACTGGTGGCGGAGGAGTTGCGGGGGCTGGCTGCTCCAGAGAAGGACAAATACACTTATATTGAGAAGAGCAGCCGATGTTCAAGCATTCCCTGCAGCCAATCTCAGCTGCAATCCCAGTTTTTCTTGCCTTTCTTTCTTCAAGTTTTCTTTCCTCTTCACTCTCACTCTTTTTCTCTTCTTTCTCCTCTTGTTCGAGTAAAGCAAGCAGGGCGTATTCGTCGATGGAGCTGTAGAACTCATCATACAACCCTTCTTCAGTATCCTTTACTGCCTGTTGGCTTTGTATTAGTTCCTCTTCAGCGTCTACGGGTCGTTCTTTGATACGTTGCACAGCCCGCTGAGCTCGTCGTGCTTGGATAATATGTTGTACACCCGATGGATTTGGTAAAGCTGTGGAACGTGTAGAACGTGTAGAGTTTGTGGAGCGTGCGGAGCGTGCGGAGCGTGTGGCAACCATTTCAAAAAAATCAAATTAAAAAATTTAGGTTCGGAGGTGGAGAGATTGAGGAAGCTAATTATCAAAGAAGCTTCATGATATATATACATGCTTTTTTTTTTTTTTTTTTTTTTTTTTTGTTTCATCGTTTATTTTTGTTTCTCTTTTGTTTATTTTTGTTTCATCGTATCCCACCAGTCACTTCGTCTTTTTAAAGTCACCTTTTTTTGGCTGTCACATAATTTTTTGTAATATTTTAATATAAGAGACAAGTTCGGTTCAATTAGAATATACCTAATCAGTCTTTTATGAACAACGATTCTAGTCCTATTTACGTTATGAACTTACTTGGATATCGGTCAGTTCTTGGAAGATAAAAATCAATACACCAACCTTGACGAGTATTGTCGTCTTGACCCTCATAATTTTTTATCCAATATTGATCTCGGCTCTTAAGAACCATCCAATCTCCATGTCTAACTTCGTGGCATTCAACCTAATAATTACATGCTCATAAGTCATTTCGTTGTTTTTTAGTGTTTTAGTGGAAGATTTATTATTTAGTGCTGATGACTTACAAGGAAAGGGGGCTATCACGCTGCATTCCATGTGCAGCATCTAAACAGAGGCCGTTATAAGTGTTTCTAAGCTTTCCAAATGTCACTAAGGTAGTGGCCGAGAAGGCAATCATATAGGGTGAAACGAGCATTGTGAAAAATGGTATTGTTAATCGTATGATTTTTTTTTGAACCGCCTTTTTATATTTTTGCCCTCATTTCAGGGGTAAAAAAACAAGAAAAGCTTGCCCAATAAAAAATGAAGAGGCGATGCTTGTTCAACAAAGAAATAAAGGGGCAATGCTTGTACAAACTGGGTAAAAAAAAAAAAAAAAAAAAGTCAAAGCGGCTGGCCTCATGGGACTAGATGTTTTTTGAGACATTGTAACTGTTCCAGTATTATCTCTATAAAAAATATTTATCTAAGGATAAAGTAGCTGGTTTGTGACAGCTGTGGTAGCAAGGCGTTCATAGCGACATTGCTTTTTTGATCTTTCGATGTCGTCTCTGTCTACAATAATGAGGCAAGGATTCAGCAAGTCTTGGATTGTTCACCCACTAAAAGGGAAATCAATCACAGACGACTTTTAGCAGATATTTTTTTTTGTTACGAGCCGAAGACCATGGCGAAGCTACAATCTGCTCAGAAAATTTAATGCTCTGTCCCGTGAGAAAATTACAAACAAAAATATGTAAACTGCAGCCTAGAGGGGAGCATCTGGCAAAAATATCATTGGATGGAGTAGGCGCAGAGCGGTGAGTTGAAAGCCGGTCTGTAGGGCTTGAGGATGAAGAAGTGATAGAACAACCGAAGGCCGGTTTGACTAGAATTTGGCGTCTGTAGAGCATGATTGGTGAAGAGTGGTCGTCAAGTGTTGTAGGCGCTTGGTTCTCTGGATGACTGTTAACCCGCATATCCTTGCTCAGCCTAAGTGTCATCACCAAAGGCTAAATATAAGATCTTTTCAATAAAGTACCCTCAATCTGACCCTGCGTCCCACGGACGACAACTGGAAGCACCCATCTCTAGTCGCCTCCAAATACAAATACTTTAGCACCGAATGCAGTGTCATGTCCCATAATATCTCGAAGCAACCTGTCGACAGCCTCAAAATAATGCTTATGCTGCAAAGGAGCCTCACCCCAGAAGACGACACCAGCGTTTTGTATTCTTACCGCAGCGTCTCGTCACATACCGAGATCACAGGTGGAACGACAGTCAACTAGAATTGGTACCTTGAACATTAAGTGAGCTGTATGGCCGTTATGAAGGTTGAGAGAGGCGATCTCTGATGGTGCAACGGGCTTATCTCTTCGCTATTCCAGTTATCCGTTACATTTTAGCATATTCTATTTGGCCCTTATTCTGTTTTTGATTGGTAATCAGATTCAATTGATGTATTTGATAGCAGAATACAAGGGTGACAAAGGTTGACTCGATATCAGGTCAGCGTATTGCCATTCCAAGTCCTTTAAGATGTATGGACCCTAGGACGCGTCTTTTGCTGCAGACATATGTTGAGATAATAGAGGTGACAGCAACTGCAAAGATTACGGGATAGAAGTCTCGTAACAGATAAGCAAGCAAAGATATAAATGGAATAAAAAGTAATAAAAAACGAATGTAAATTTCCCTTATATGATCAAGACCTACCTGGATAAAAAGCATGGCTTCATCATTACTATCTCTTATATTTGGCCTTCGATGACGACACTCAGACTGAGCAAGGATATGCGGGTTAACAGTCATCCGGAGAACCAAGCGCCTACAATGGTTGACGACCACTCTTCACCTATCATGCTCTACAGATGCCAAATTTCAGTCAAGCCAGTCTTTGCCATGACTATCAGCAAGTCTCAAGGACAGACACATAAGTACGTCGATGTTTATCTTCCTCAAGATGTCATCAGCCACGGCCATCCCTATGTTGGTTTATCGCGATGTACAAACCCAAACAACCTTAGGGAACAGGTCGGAGACGGCAAGGTAGAATGCAAGTCTGAGATATACACACGGAGCATTATCTTCAAGGATGCTTTATGGTACAATGCCTTTTGGTCTTTGGTTATTTTGTCGCTTTTTTATCCTTAAGTCATTCAGACTGACTTCCAACTTGTCTCTCTGTGGTTACTCCATCCAATGATATTTTGCCAGATGCTCCCTCTCTAGGCTGCAGTTTACATACTTTGTATTTTATTTTTTGTATTTTTCTCACGAGACAAAGCATTAAATTTTCTGACGACATAAGAGCAGATTGTAGTTTCTCCACGGTCTCCAGCTCATTAAATGTAAAAGTGTGCAGGGGGCTAATTTCTTAAGTTAAGTTGTTGCCTTTTGTTTGGGGTGTTGAGGGCTGGATCTTCATACTGTCTTTTTCCTGTATAGGCTTGCTCATTCTCTATTCTCTCTTCTGAGTCCCTAGCGTAATACCAAACTTGACAAATACTGATAGAACTCCTTTCTTTTTTGGAGATAACCGAAGGGAGAATGCTTGACTTGGAAAGATTATGTAGCACCTGCCCTTTAAGGACACCATCATAGTAGTATCCATAAGACGTCTCTCTATTAAATACGGAACACGAGAAGTGTCTCAACGTTTTCGAATCATCTGCAAAGAAAATTACTCCAAGGTCATAATTAGCTCCATTGATGCTTAGAGTTTGTGCAGGGCGTTTAAGCTTGGGAAAAGAATGAGAATTTCCTAAAACCAGCAAGCACGGAGGTTTTTTTATAACGCTCTTCTCCGTCCTTTTTCCATTGCAGCAGAACCAGTTTCGAGTCTCACCCGTCTCAATGTCGTGAATGGATTGGTGTAGAAAAGGATTCGAACAATATTTTTTTATAGATTTTTCAGGGATGGATTGGTCGCAAGTATAGCTGTCCTTTTTTAAGCTCTCATCAAATGTTTGTTGAGAAATAGTTGTTGGGTCTTGGATCATGAAGATAGGATGTACACTGGATTCTGATTTCGTTTTTTGAGGACAATGAATCGAAGAGCAAGTTGAAGTTGTCGTGATATGAGTGGAGGTGAGTTCTGGGAATTGCTCAATGAATGTTTTATCAAGGGTGGCTATCCAATTATTAGTCACTTTGCTTTCGCAAGGACCGATGTTCAATGATGAGTACCAAATTATCCGCGCAAGGTTATATTGCTCTTTCCCAATTAATCCCATAACGGTATCAAGAACCTGACGATTTCTAAAATGAGAAGGAATACGGACGCCATTGCAGTGATGAAGTAAGTACCATGCCATCAATGTTGTATCGACGGCGCAAGTCTTTGTCGCTTTGTATGTTGAAGCTATTCCCCAAGGAATGCCGAATGTTTCCGTGTCAATCTCAGGGCGCACTATCTGGTGATTAGACACTGATAGATCTGTCCGTAAGTTGATTTGTTTAGGTGAAGAGTCCATGTTACTTGCGGCTTTATATTTGATAGGAATATCATGATTGTGATTTCCTTTATGTTTGTATATTATCTGACCATTAACAAGCGATGAATGCAATCTCGCCTTGCATACAATATGATTCATCAATGATGATTTGTGATGCTGGCAATATAGTTGTTCATCTGGTTTTGTTTTAGCTTTGGGTGTTGCTCTATAGTCGCATCCTGGTTCCCTACATTTGAAATCGCCTTTGCAAGAATAATAGGTCGCACCATTTTGACCATGAGAGATTCGAGGCATTATCCAGCCTATTTTGTCGTTAGAGGGAATCGTAAAATTGTCGATATCTCCGTTTGGGAAGTGATGCTACATAGTAGTAAGTATGCGTCAAGGTTAGCTTTAAAGAAAGAAGAAAAAGAAAAAAAAAAAAAAAAAAAAAAGGAAATAAAATTCGATGACAAACCTGATTGCCATTAATATCAACTGGGGCTATTTGTTCGCATTCCAGAGAATCGGTGATTATAGAATCATTTGGGTCTACATTTAATAATTCGGGTTGCTTTGGTTCATGCTCGTGAATTATTGAGTCTTGGGAGGTTGTCTTCAGTGAATTCAGTAATGATTTTAACTCAGCAAGTTGTCCATTTGTTACGCCTTTCAAAATGAATGTAAATGTGACGTTTGACATTGTGTGTAACAAGAGGGATGGGTGTAAAAAGAGGCGTAGGTGTAAAAAGAGGCGTAGGTGCAAAAAGAGGCGTAGGTGCAAAAGGAGGCGTAGGTGATAGAGCCCTTAAGCGATTCATTTACAATTTGTTTAGCAGAACTGTGACTGCTATGTAGGTACCAATTGTCCTTTCTTCTCCACATAGTCCCAGCATCCACTCGGGGGCCTCTATGACATCATTTGATGATGTTGAAGGGCATTGTTTTTATCCAGTATTTATAGGTTGCTGTAATATAGTCGTGGTAATATTCGTCACCGTAGTAACGACTTGAAAGGAGGACAATCTGGGTTGATCCATTCTACCGCGCTATGGAGCCTGACTAGGTTGATCTTTTCCTGTACAACTTGACGAAGCTTGTTTTGTCGCATCCGTTGCTTCTCCACCTTCTTGCATTCTCTTGAAGGACCTGGGTTGATAGTCTCTCCTAATAGAGGTTATTGGTCTGTTGAAGTTAGGAACCACTCCAACGTGTCACGCTCATGGTGATACGTTGGAGTGAGTGGTGAAATGCCTGTGTTTGATTCAGGTGTTGTAGATGTAGATGGCGAAAGAATGCGTTGGGAGGATGTGAGCAGTAATGTGAGGAGTTCAATAGGAGGAATATAAAACTTTTTTATAGATGCATTAATCATTACAGGAAAACAGGCAAGCTCAATTCCAAGAAGCCTCTAGTGGTTCCAAAATTGTCAGAGAGGCGCTGCAAGTACTTAGAGGCTTCTTTAGACGAAAATCCTCTTTCGACACTCAAGGAAGTCCACAAGGCTCTCCACGACGAATTCCCTGAAGTCAAAGTGTCTCTTGCTATAGTCTTCAGTTATGTCACAAATATGTGTGATACACACACTCAAGCGGGTTCGAAAGACCTCAGGTAAACGAAATGATCTCGCGGTACTTACAGGGGGAGAGAGTTTTGCCGAGGAGATGCAGAGCCCAGTGAACTGCGAAAAGTTTGAGAAAAAGATCATTGATGAGACAGGGTTTAACCTGTATTTGATCCGAAAATATGGATCTCGTAAGGGAAGGCCTGCCAACGTTATGCGTCCTACCGTGCGTGATAGAAATGTTAGCGTTGTAGGTGCAATCTTATCAACTGGGATCATCTGTATGTCAGCAACTACAGTGGATCCTGATGCCGATGAAGAGTTAATGACAGAGGAGGATCAAGACAAGGTCCCGAACAACAACGGTCATAATCGTAGTAGGAGTACAGCACGCTCTCCGCAGATATCCGAGGATGGTGTAGCTGGTTGCTCAACAAGTGGAGTCTATTTTAGGGACCTCATTTGTGAGGTTCTTGAAATATTAGAGACTAAAGGATTTATGGATATAATTTTCTAATGGACAATGCGCATATTCACAAGTCTCCACTGGTCAGAGAAGCAGGCCATTTTTGTGAATATCTCCCTCCTTACTCATCATTCCAATCAAATAATGCTAGTCGAAGGTCAAGAACAGCTCTAAGTGAAACCGTCTTGAAGCGAGTGAAACTATGCACTTTAGGTTTCAAGGTACATTCAGGTTCGGTATCCCGAAAGGATTGTCAAGGCTTGATTAGTCATGCAATTACCTTCTTTCTAAAGTGTCTCAACAAAGAGATTATTTTATAGATCTATAAGAGTAGAGTGGAGAAGGAACAAACGCTAATGAATAGGATAGTATATATCAAGTTACTCAAATTGGTCATCTAGCTAGCTAATAAAGACACAATGTTTGGATAATTGTGATAATCAATTCGATAACAATCAACATATTCGGATAACTTATAGGGTAATTTTATTAGCTTAGATTGGATAAAGCGTATCTCCCCTCGGAGCAATCCAAATGGAAAATGGAAAAAACGTTTTTTAAAATGGATAAAACAATTAAAAGCACTATAAGTTAGAACTAATAGTTTTGAATCAAAGCATGTCAATAAACCACTATGTACTGTATGTGTTTGGTTTATGCAAACTTTGAAGAATAATCTCTAAAAAAGTTTTGTATTTTATTTTTGATTCGAGGGTTAAAAGATACAGCAATCAGGCTAGGGAACACATGATCTATAGCTAGATAACTCCAACAATCAGGTACACTCTCCTACTTAACTTCCGCATACTTCTCCAGACTATCATGTAAACGTCCAAAGATACCTCCATGCCAGCCTCTCGCCTCCTCCCACTCATCCTCTGGGAGAGTGACGCGCATCATGCGTAGCCACCCGCCAACGATTAGATCAGCATAACTGGCTTGCTCACCTAATATGAAAGGCCCAGTGGTGTCCTTCAAAAATAACTTGCTAAGGTCACCCAGCATGAGATGGAAAGACTCCTTTATCTTCTCTCTTTTTTCCCCCTTAACCTCGAAATCGTCCCAAGATTTTACGCCAGCGCGCCGAATGAATTCGGCCCTGCTAGCTTCAGCAGTGGCTGGTTCAAAGGGGAGGTTGTATGCCATAAGAGAAAGATGAGCGGTGAATGCCGCATCGACATTTGTATTGAATCGGGAATACTCGTCATGTTCGTCCCCTTTCCGCTCTGACAGTGGCACAAGTAGTGCATCATCGAGGTTGTAGACAAAATCGAGTTTTTGAGGGGGAAACAAATTGCCAGAGCCTGAATTGGGGTACTCGGTTTGCAAATAGACGGCAATGTCGAAGGAGTCTCCAATTTTGGTGTTTGTATTGCGATCAACCAGAATGGGAAGTGTATAGAATTTTGTGCCATCGCCAAAATTGCGACAGGCGTCCACACCGAGATCGGAACGAACTTGAGCAATGTCTGGAAGAGGAACCCATGTGGTAGAATAAGCAATATTTTTAAAGTTAAGCGCCAATCGGGACTTCCAGGGGTTCACTGCACAGCAGGTAGAAGCAATTGGCGGGCGCATAGCAATATCGTAGAAGACCATGTCTTCGGAGGGCTTGGATGGTGTTGCCATGGTAGATGGTGAGATGGTGATGAGAAGAGAAAATGCGCAGTTTTGGGCTAATGAATGAGCTTTTTAAATATGCAGAATAAGTCACGTGTCAGATTTTGTACTACTTCGCTAATGAGAGTTCCCAGGAAGCTTCTTAGTACATTCCAATGCAGTTATACCGTCATTGCTAGATTTCCCTCCAACAGTTTACGTACAAATCTGTACGATATCTTTATTTTCTTAAGCCACACCCCAATACCCAGAAAGAGGGTGAAAACTACATGAACTGGAGCACTTAGATCAACTCACATATTAGTAAATTTCAAACTTCATTCGCTAATGAATGCTCCATCACTAATGACAATGAATGTGGCTCGTGCTAATGAGAGGGAAATGAAGGGTGGTGTCTTTGGTATTTCTTTTTCTTTTCCACGTCGCCGCAGAATATAAGGCGACGATATTGAAGAAGAGGGAGAAGACAACAAGGACATCTCAATGCTGTACTGAAGTCACCAACAAGCGAAGAAGAATCCAACTTGCTCTGCCCACACCCCCCGAATTCAGTCCGATGTCAAGACGATATCATAAATCTTACAAATGCTTGCCTCTTGAGTTGTTGGATACCTTAATCGTTAGCTCCTATAAGGCTCCACTCACACGCCTGGAAGTTCTGACATAAGCTTATCTGGAGTCTTATTAATTCCATTCGTGAGACCACCAAAACTCGACGCTCAAGTGTTAAGAAGACGCATCGTCAAAGAGTAACTAAACACTCCAAGTTACCTGAATACCGCTTCGAGGATAATGGCCATTGGCCTGAAATGAGAGAGGAGCTTGCAGCATGTGTATAGTGTTCCTAGACTCCACGCCAAGAAGTAAAAGATAGTAGGGCTCCATCACACGGCACCGCCAACAAAACTCAAACATGGTGTGAAAAGTGCAATGTCCCTCTTTGTTTAGCAGCAAACGAAGGAGATTCTGCAGCTAAAGTGGGCGAACTATGCATGGGTCGTAAAAAGCAACGTGAAATAGAAAATAAATAAAACCTTTATTGAGTAGTCTAATAAACATTTTTTTTTTTTTTTTTTTTTTTTGCATTTTCAATTATATATCATCGGCACCGCAGATTCTATATAGTCATCAATAAAAAAAAGTGAAAGCTATGTGTGGCTTCATTCATAGCTGTATCCAGCGTCTTCCTTTCTCATCCCATTTTGCCCTCTATTACTGCGAGCCTGCACTGCATAAAGGTTAAGCTTTTGATAGGACAGGTGAGTTGTTTCGTGCAGCTCGTTTCTTCCTGTACCAGACAAAGCCGGCAGCTCCGATAACAAGCAAGACTGCACAAACGACCCCAATGATGACACCCGAGTTGCTCGACTTTGAATCACCGGTAGCACTTGGTGCGTTGGGAGCAAGGTTATCGAAGGAGGTGTCTGGGATCCGGATGGGCTTTGCATCATACACCTTTCCTGCGTTGGGTCCACTGAGTGGGATACTGAACAATTTATAATCTTGGGCCATGAGCACAAATGGGACAGGGCCAGGCATTGTTACAAAGGTAAAGCCTATACCGGGTTGTACTTTTGATTCAGGGACAGCACTAAAGTTTGATCCATCAAAGAGGACCACATTTTCCTATGGAAAGAAATGGAAAAAAATGAAGAAAAAAAAAAAAAAAAAAAAAGATGAATATGGTACCGCGTCAGTAATAATATCTCGCAAAAAAATAAATATAAAAAACATTTTTTATCCTGTTCTTTCTACGGTCGAGTGGATTTAAAAAAAAAAAAAAAAAAAAAAAAAAAAAAAAACTTACTCGACATTCAAGGACGACGCCAGTTCCAAGAGGCATTATATGCACAGGCACCGCATTTTTCTTCAACTAATGTTGCGTTAAATGTTGCTATCGTGGAGGGCCATTTAGATACATCAGAGACAGAGGTGGCGCCTAAAAGGAACTTGTTGCCAGTAATATTTCTTCCAAGGAAGTATAAGTTGTCGTTGGCAAAGCCAATACGCATCAAGTCGCCATACAGCGTTTGGTCCTTGACAATTCAAAAAAAAAAAAAAAAAAAAAAAAAAGGAAAAGAGATCATCGCAAAGTTAGAAGTATTGAATCATGTCAATTGCTCTGTAATAGATTTTCACGCTTTTAAAAAAAAGAAAACCTATAATCAGTTGATAATATAAAGGACAAAGGGGATATAGAGAATACATACAAATAATCATGGGGTTGGGTTCTGCTTCATTATCAAGGTGGAAGGATCCATGGATGCGATCCAGATTTTGCCAGCATGGGGATCTGCAGATGCAAACAAAAGGTTCTCACTGCCTTTAGGCTTATAAAGCTCTGTGGACAAATCACCCCATTCGAAATCAGGAGAGACTGGAGAAACTGTGACGTTTACCCAGCTGCCTGGCCCTCCATTAGCGCTTGGCCGGTATTGGATCCCACGGGCGACATCATAGGTCCTCCAGGTTTTTTCTGTTCTGGACCTGCTGGATAAAACTGTAAAGACCTTTGATGTTTCGTCGATATGGCAGGCCCGAGCGGGGTTAGCGTCTGGAGTCTCGATATCATTGAGACCCTCGTTCCGGATCACGCTCACAGGTGTCCAGGAGATGTCAGAGAGATCTGGAGATGGATTTGGGTTGGACTTTACGAGGACGTAGTGAGCGTCATTGGGGGAGGAGGGAGGCGTTGTGCGGGATGTTCCGATGGCAAGAGCGTAGAGACTTGTTCCGTCAGTGACTACACAGGCAGGTTCAAGGGTGACAGGAGTAGGTTCAGCCATTTGTTTCTTTTTTATTTATTTATTTTTTAAAATGCGAAGAGAAAAAAGAAGGTGAAGGGAGAAAGCTAGAAAGGATTGTAGAGAAAGTGGAGGAATATAAAGAGAAGAGAAGAGAAGAGGAAAGTGGGAAAGAATAAAAAGGCTTGATGATGATGATGATAATCGAGGTCAATTGACGAATTGAAGGATGCTTAAATAGTAATCGGGTTTGCACTTTTTTTTTTTTTTTTTATTTTTATTGTAGCATAGCGTTGAAGCACAGATTAAATTTTCCTTTTTCATTTCTCATTTTTAACTTTCTCACTGCACAAGCAGTATTCGTCCTCAGCCCTCAATGCTTCTCAAGTAGTATTCGCCCTCCTTGGCTCTCACAATGCCCATGCCATGCAGTATAAAATTAGTCTCTTCGCCTTCGACTTTTATGGCTCTCAACAATGTGTACATGTCTTGCACAATAAGCTCATGCCAAGATGTGTAAGATGCAATTCTAGGTTTAATGTTTACATAAACAAAATTTAATTAATTTTCTCTCTGCGAACAAGTTAATTCTCTGTCGACAGGATCCTTGCATCTGTTTACGTTACATCGCTGTCACTCGCTACAGCCTTTTTTCCTTCTTTGTTTACTACAGCCTTCTTTTCTCTTGGACGAAGAAAACGTGTTCTATCATATTCACTTTAATTTCTTTTCTCTCTTAACACTCTTTTATCCCTCTTCGTGTCATTCTAAAATCCTAAAAGGCAATCGGCCCGCCTCCCTCTTCTGTTGGTCCAATTAGATGCATGTGTGTTGCACAAGGAGAATGTATACCTTATTTACTGTTATTTATACCATCCTTATATCCTGCTCGTATACATTCCTCCCTTTCTCTCCACTCGACTGGTGCTCTTTTTTTTATCTTTTATTTTTTATTTCTCAGCATTATGTACACCATTGTTATTGTTGCCATTATTGACGCCGTCATTTTCATCGATCACTCTCTCTGGCTTGAGGAGAGCCTCGAGAAGCATTTTAGATGTGAATTTCAACTCATGAGCCATGTCCGCAATGGCGATTGTACTTTCTGCATCTGCCACTTGGAGTTTTTTTTTTTTTTTTTTTGCTCACATTCTGCAAGTTCTTGTCTTGTAGAGTGCGCCGCCATTGAAGACTGTGCATTCAAAGCTTTTAAAACAACCTCATGCAAAATGAACATCTCCATTCTCACAATTCCATTGCAACATTGCAGCCTCATTCCTCATTCATTGAGCATTCTTGAATTAGCCATTGCTAAACACACACGCAGAAAAAAGTCTTCAATCGAGCCAACAGTATCAAAGTGCTCTTTGGGTGTGTACTTAAAAGGCCTGCGCTCCAATTAAGCGCTCGTATAAGCACGGCAGCACCAGAAAGCTTTTTTTTTTTTTTTTTTTTCGTTACTCTCATAATCACATAATGAACAACGAAATTGAATGAGTGCTTGTGGATAGAAGAATGATAACATATAAGAAATATTATAGAGTTACCAGGTTCTCCGCCTGTCTGCATCTAATAAGTCTGTCCAGGGCACACCACGTGAGGGTGATCTGGTAGCGTGCCCCGTGGCTCAGAAAGCCTAGAGCAGTCTAGTGACCAACTCATCTTTGGGTTCTGCGCCCCGCACTAGCTGCAGTCTGCGCGTAGCATGTTGGGCAGGGACTAGCGTTACGCGCCCAGGAGTCCTCTATTCCCTATTACCATTGAATGATTACGCTATTAATCTCTCCCTATGCTGTAAAAGACATTCATATCACTTATTATCCTGCTTCCTTTTTTTTATTTTCTTGAAGACCTTGATGTGGTCTATGCACTCTTATTTGCCTAGTTCTAATGGAGTTTATTTGCTTGCTTGTTTATTTGATTATTTCTATCGGTTGAACTGAGAAATGGTGAGGGCACCTAATGCGATCTTGTGTCTGGGCTCGGTGGCCCCTCATCTGTATCCGCCTGCAACCCCCTATTTATCGGCCCCACGTAATCCTCATTCACACCGATGTACTTTTTTGACGTGTGCTTGAAAGCTACGGCCTTAAAGAACTCCACCATGCGAGAAGCACCAACAGTGTAATCTACCGCATCGAGATCAACATTACCATTTCTTTCATAATCCTTATCCCAGTATCGCTTTCATTTTTTTTTTAAAAAAAAAAAAAAAAAAAAAAAAAAAAAAATTATAGAGGAGAAAAGAAAATATAGTGATCTGCTCTCATATCATGGTACATTATATATGCCATCGTATAAGATTGCCTCGTAAATTATGCAGAAATATTTATACCTGCCATTGCCTTATATACACTTTATATGCGGCGAGTGCGTGATTCGTGGCTGATGGCTTACTAAGAAGTTAATTGAGGACAAATCTGACTGAGTCTCTCCTGGCAACAGCAACTTGCTCCTCATTCATGGATGCCATGGGAAGCGGTGTTGAGCTGTTGACTGGGTGCATGTGCGGGCGCAGGCGCATAATATCTTTGATCCTCAGCCATGCACGTTTGATGGTAAAGATTGGGTCACCCTTGTTTAGATGCTTCTTTACAGGTTGCGAGATTAAAGTTTGCGTCGTCAATGACCCACCTATGGCTTCTGTAGAGGGTGTTTCTTGTCTTGTAATTGTCTTTTTGTTGGGGCTGCCTCCTCGATTTTTTTTCAGTGGTTCATCTGGTGAGATGACGTGAAAGACGGATTTCATGGACTCAATAAATGCATTAGTTTACATAAAGCAATTAATGATAGTAGCAACTGGGCGGACGACCCGTGACTCCGCTCACGATCGCATCAATCTAGTGTTTTGTCTCGTGGGGTCCACTTACCTCGTTGGGTACCAACGCTTGAAGGTACTCAGATTAAGTAAAATTCCTGTAAGCAATAAAAGTACACAGCAAGTCGAAAATAGTCATGTCCATGCATAAAAGAATGGTGTTGCTCGAGCATATAGGAACTATGATTGCTTTATTTACAGGTTTGTGAGGAGAGAGTCGATTTCCAGTCATTGCTCCCTCGAGCGCTTAACAGTACTAATGAAGAAACCTCTTGCAGCCCTCGCTGCTGCCATGTTGAGTTTAAACTTTTCGAGCCGCATTTGAGATGAGGTTTGCGCAAGGTACATCCCATTAATGTTTCCGGCATCACTTGCAGGACGGCTAAATACACCACGCATCTACGGTAGCGCTACAACCGTAATTGGACTGATTCCAGGGAAATGGTGCGATTGGTACGATGGCAACGTGCACTGGCAGAATAGCTATGAATGCCGCCTAGCAATATAACCTGATACTATTGCTGTTAGAGGCAAAGACTTGAGCCTGCAACCAATCGGTTTTTTAAAGACGCGGATGATAGCCATTTTTAGATCACCGGGAGAGAGATAGAAAATAATAGAGGCAAGCGTTTAATCGTTTGTTTTTCTTGAAGCTGAGAAGAAAGAATGAGGAAATGGTAAAAGTTGCTAGATGTGCAGGCAACTGGATGATGGGCATAGTGCATCGTGATGATATAGCTTGGTATATGATTTGCTGCTGATTTTTTTACTGATTGATTTTATTTATTTTTTTTTCTTTGGCATGTAATTTGATAAACGCTTTCTGCTAGTAGGGAGCGCAGAGAACTGGATCCGATCTGCCCATGAGTTGGTGAAAGCAGTTTACGGTCCAAGGGACAGAGATTTTTTTTTTCTGCATGGACTATTTAGGATTAAATAGTCCGGAGGAAAGCAAAGGGTGGGGACATATGATCCTGGTTCTCGGATAATAAGCATAAATCGTCATGTTTTTCAGCTTGGACAGCTAGAAACAAGGAATATGAATTGAGTGCTTTTAAGCTATTTCGCTACGCAGAGCCCTTGGGTCATCATGACTTGAACTTGACGCCTTTTTAGCTTACTGGATATACCTAGTGGGCTTTTTGGAGAGTTTAAAAGGTACAATTGTTCCTTCTACCTGCTCCAACTCTGGGCGCCTCAATGATGGGGAAAGGAATTGAATGATTGCAAAAAATAAATAAAAATGGAAAAATAACAAGTCGAGTAAGGATGAGATGTTGACTGAATGCGTTCCAATAACGAGCTTGCCCTCCTCCATTGATGAATATATTACAGGCCAAGCGTAACTCGAATTGTTCAAGTGATTTGAGTGGTTCGAATTGACAAGTGGCGTGAGTGATATAGTTTAGAGCTGTATTGTAAAAAGGTTAATTTGATTTCCTAGCATTGAAAGCTGCTTATACTGTTATCTAGAAAACTCTATAAGACTCAATCTAGGAATCTCTTTCAACCAAGAATCCAAAATCACTAAATGCTAGACCGTTGTAGGGAGAAGACTATTTCTCTCACCGAGCATAATGAACTTGGCCCGGGAGAAGCAAGCGTAAGCATGGTCATTATACTAGTACACCCAATAAAAAAAAAAAAAAAAAAAAAAACATCATTAAAATCATTACAAACACAAATTTAATATTACCATTTCCTATTATGCCAATGGTTCGAATGATCCGAATTGTTCAAGTGCCGAATGGTTCGCGTATCGAGTGGTTTGAGTATTGAACGGTTCGAATCGAATTCGATATCAGTGAAATTCGATTCGAATGGTTCGAATAGGAGCACTTCCCTTCCAAGCAGGCTTTGCACCCTATTAGGCTCGCCGAAGCCCGCGCTCCATCCGCTGGTGCCACAGACTTGTCTTCATCCTCTTTTATATGGCCGCTAATATGTATTCAATAAATGGCTCCACTTTAGATAAGATGCTCACTGACGAGGAAGTAATATACTGCTGCTGAAACTAAGCTCTAGCTGTTTGAACATAGGTTGTATACACACCCTGCGTTACTGGATATGTCGCTCAGGCAAAGATAAGATCAGGCGTAGTAAGTGTTTTATTGGTGATGCTACAGCGTTTTTAATTGTTTTATCCATTTTAAAATAAACTTTATCCGATTTTATTTTGAATTGTTCCAATCACTAAAAAAAATTATCCAAAGTTAAGTTAAAAAGTTAACCGAAAAGGGCGGAGAAATTTATCCGAATGTTTACAAATTTTGTCCAACCATGCAGTTCATTTTATCCAGATGGTCATGCGGAAATAGCCATGGGACCTTGTGATATTATCGGCGCGTCCTGGAAATTATCAACTGCGTTGGATTTTTTTCTTCGAATTCAAAAAAAAAAAAAAAAAAAAGGTCGCCCATTTTTTTTTTTTTTTTGATGTAAGACGCGTCGCGAAGATCATGGCGCGTTGGCGCGTTGACACATTGGTACCACGCTAACATGCAATGATGAGTCCATGTATAAAAGGAATTGAGGTTTAAAGAAAAATAAAAAGACAAAAGTTACCACCGCTTGTATCCTTCAACTGATATCGCTTCAACACTCTTAATCACCTAATTCAAATTCACTATGGCACTTACCAAGAATCAACCTGAAATTATCAACTTGGTTGACACCGATGACGACGAGCTCTATAAAGACCTCGAGGCTCAGAAAGCCGCCTTGAAGTGGGATGACAGTTCTAATGTATGTGGTCTTGGTGGTTCTTTTGTAACTTGTTCCATCTTCTTGGCTATAAACATTGGTTCCTCTATTTTGCAATATCCATAGGCTATTGAGATCAAAGCCGAGGGGGGAGGCTGTGACAGCGCCATCCCTCAGCCCCGCGCACAAGACTCTGGGAATAAAAGTGACTCTTCCAAACCTCATCTCCAAAATCTATATCGTCATGGTATTTCGTTCGTCCATGTAGCCTCCTCGTCGCGGTCTCGCCCTCGTCGGATGATTGTAGAGGAAGAGAGCGATGAAGAGGCAGACCCGTACAACCCTTGGACGCCCCCCATGTATACTGGCCACGAGCTTGATTTCGATGCACCTGCCCTGGGTGCGCCTGCTGCTGAAACCTCTGTCATTGACTCGCCTATCATTAGTGAGCCTGTTGGCAGAAACAATAACAAAGAAAAAGGGCCAAAAATGACCTGCATATATTCGCAGCTCCAATTCGATGAGGATGAGCTAGAAAGAGAGCGCAATCCGGCACCTGAGGCTTTTTTTGATCAAGACGAAAATGAGTATGAGGAGCCAAGCCTGAGAGATATGTGTCGTAAAAGGAAACGCAATTCCCCTACCACATATTCTAAGATTACAGAAGAGGCTTCTCAAAGGCTGATTGAGTACTGGACAGTACACATGTGTACAGTAGCTGAAGCGGCTAGGGCCGTTCACATGCATCCAAGGACCGCCTGGAGGTAATAATTAAGTTTAAAGACTACTTGTGCTAAATGATATCTCGGGATATTGTTACCAATTATGTTTACCTGGGAGTTTGTTATAGACAGGGAAACAGGCAAGCTCCCTTCCAAGAAGCGTCGAGTGGCTCCGAAATTGGCAGCGAGACACTGCCAGTACTTAGAGGATTTCTTAGACGAAAAACCTCTTTCGACGCTCATGGAAGTACACAAGGCTCTCCACGACGAATTCCCTGACGTCCAAGTGTCTCTTGCCACGGTTTTCAATTATGTCACAAATATGTGTGAGTACACACTCAAGCGGATCAGAAAGGTCTCTGACAAGCGAAATGATCCCGCTGTACTTACAGCGAGAGAGAGATTTGCTGAAGAGATGCAAAACCCCACAAACCACGAGAAGTTTGAGAAAAAGACCATTTTCATTGGCGAAGCGGGGTTTAACCTGCATCTGATCCGAGATTATGGATGGTCCCGTAAAGGAAAGCCCGTCAACGTTGTGCGTCCTACCGTACGTGGTAGAAATGTTAGCGTTGTAGGTGCAATTTCATCGACTGGGATCATCTGTATGTCAGTGACTACAGTAGACCTTGATGCGAATGAAGAGCCGGTGGCGGAGGATGATCAAGATGAGGTCCCGAACAACAACGGCCGTGGTCGTGGCCGGGGGGGCGTGGCCGTGGTCGTGGTCGTGGTAGAAATGCAGCACGTCCTCCGCAGGTATCCGAGGATGGTATAGTTGGTTGCTCAACAACCGGGGCCTATTTTAGGGACTTCATTTATGAGGTTCTTGAGATATTGGAGGCTAAAGAGATGCATGGATATACTTTTCTAATGGATAATGCGCGTATTCACAAGTCTCCACTGGTTAGAGAACTCATAGAAGAAGCAGGCCATTTTTGTGAATATCTTCCTCCTTACTCACCATTCCTGAATCCAATCGAGGAATGCTGGTCGAAGGTCAAGAACAGTTTCAAGAGAAGCCGCCTTGAGGCGAACGAAACCATGCGCACTAGGTTCCAAGACGCATTCAGGTCGATATCCCGAAAGGATTGTCAAGGTTGGATTCATCATGCAACTACCTTTTTTCCAAGGTGTCTCAACAGAGAGATCAATCTATAGACCTATAAATAGTACAGTTATGGTGAAAAAAAAGAAACGATAATGGATAGGATAATATGCATGTCAATGTTGTTAATAAAGCCACGACGTTTGGATAATTGTGATAATCAATTCGGTTATCACGTTTGGAATAATCTATATACTAAAGTCGTAAGGTTTTGTGACTGTGTGCTAAGTAACTTTTTGGTCACGAGACACTACACACAAAAAAACCGGCCTCACAGTTAATAAACCACGTTTATACATATTTCGATGTGTGTGTTCATATTCGTCTCTGCAAGTCTGTGCGTTCCAATAAACATTAGGTTACAGGAATGTATAAAAGGCAAAAAAAAGGTCTTCTACCTCAAACCGTCCATATCACACTTGCTTTCTTCTACACTTAACCCTCACTTTTATTATATTGTGCATTGCACATAAAAGCAACACCATGAAAGAAGCTCGCAATTCTCATTGGCCCACTCCAAAGATTCATTCGACAAGGAGTCAAACTCTGAGGGCAAAACAAAATTCTTCTTTCTTCTCCCTATGCCCCATCTCCTGCGAGAGGAAGCAAAAGAAAGCAGGAGAGCGAAGCGACCTCATTCACTATGAAGGAAATTAAGAGAGAAAAAGTGAATCCGCCACCTCGCCTCAAGCTCTTCCTTCTCATGCTCAACGTATAACCAGGAACAACATAGGAAAGAAGGCTACCATCACTTCTCTTTCGGCTTCCTTCATGGATCCTTTGCCCTCCGCGAACGCTTTTCCTTCCACATCATCCCTTATGTGCTTGAACACAGAAGCTGCCGAGTCGTTAGACTGCTCCCTTTGTCAAAAAAAGCCATCGGGCTCCAACGCCCGGTGTATGACTTGGAAACTAACCCAAGCAGCCAATCGAGAGCCTTATGTGCACCTACAAGATCCATATGAGCAGGAGTGGGTGAAGCTTGGTGATTTGGATCCAGAAGAAGTTGAGCAGGCGTTTTCATTATTGGAGAAATGGGAAAACTTTAGTGACTTGAACGTCGATGATGTCGAGAGGGCATTCGCGCCCATTGAGAAAGGTGTCTCAAGGAATTAAGTTTGCATTTTGTGAGAATTTTTTAATAAACAACTCCGATCTACCCATGTTTCAGGCGCAGTTTTTGAAGATATACACGGCCTTACCAAATATGGAATCGGTACAGAACCCTGAAATTTTAATTCACAAACGTCCTTTATTTTCAAAGCTTCCCTAGGTAGCAACGAAGGAATGTTTCCTTTATCCCTCACTGATATGAAGGGCTCAAAATGATATTATAAATTAACACGATGTTGATCAATAAGGACAACGCATCTTCATACAAAAAGGCATTGAAATATCATGTCATCTCATACAACCATGCGTGCCTGCAGAAGCTGTGGGAGTACTGAACACTTCAGAGCCTCGAACGCGGCTTGCCCAAACTATCGATAAAATACCCAAGCTAGCACTATGCGCTGAAACCAAATCAGGATAGTGTGTTCCTGAAGAGAAAGAAAACCTGTCTAATGAAAATGCTAATAAGCCTACTATGTCACCTAAAATACATGTATGCCCCATACCAGTCCCAGATCAGCAAAAAGGCCATGCGCATGTGGGAGCATTTTGCACTCAAGGAGTACACACACCATGCCCTCGCAATCCACTAATTATTCAAACTACTCTGCCTGAAAACATGTAAATGAATAAATGGAAGCTGTTCACAAACTGATATGGATATGAGACTGTCACTGTTGGGTGTTGACTATGCACATTTTTTGATGAAATATTACATCTTGAATAGGGCTGTCATACCTGAGGGCCAAGCTTTAGAAGCTTTGAATGTCCGCGAAACCATGCAACGCCGGGATCGAGCTTCGCGACAAGAGGCAGAAATTGAGGCAGACGTTCGGTAAACCTTTTAAGAGATTAAGGCTATTACTGATAAGGTGCAAAAAAAAAAAAAAAAAAAAAAAAAAATTAATGCGTCAATTATTGCATAAATGCATATTTTAATATCTTTATGCCGATATAGAGCTGGTGCCAGAGTCAATCCAGAGAGCATTGCCCGTGTCACGATAGAAGAATTTCGTGAAGAGATCGTAGCTGGCGACAGCATCAGTTCTATATCTCACAGGCATTCGATCGGCGAGATGGTCCAGTGCAGACACTGTAAGGCGTTCGTTTGGCTTGAAGAGCGCCTAAAAGCTTCTACCATCCATTCGCCGGTATTCTCGCTCTGTTGTGGACAAGGAAAAATTAGGCTGCCCGAACTTCGTCCAATTCCCCAGCTAATCGATCTTATCAGTGGTAATTCTGAAGAAAGCTGTGACTTTCGGACTCATATAAGGCAATACAATTCTTCACTCTCTTATGTCTCATTGGGTGCCAACTACGATCGTGAACTTGCCAACGCCAGGGATGGCTTGTACACATTCCGAATCAACGGGGCAGTGGTACACAGGATCGGGTCTCTACTGCCTCCAGATGATCAATCAGCCAAGTTCGCTCAAATTTACTTCCTCGATCCTGTGGCTACCAAAGGCGAGGATACAAGGCGATTGTTTTTCATTGATGGGTCAGGAGGGACAGGAAAGTCTTTTCTCTTCAATACAGCAATTGATTACATCCGTGGCACCCTTAAAAAGGAAGTCATCGTGGTAGCTTCCTCAGCAATAGCTGCACTGATTTTGAATTCGGGAAGCACTGCGCACTCTGTTTTTAAAATACCGATCCCAATCTATTCGAATTCGACTTGCAACCTCAAGCATGGGCAAAGTATCGCAAACAGGATTATAAATACAGATGTGATTTTTTGGGATGAAGGTCCTATGCAACACCGCCATGTTTTTGAAGCTGTTGATAGGACTATAAGAGACCTCACAAAGATCAATGAGCCATTTGGCGGGAAAATTGTTGTGTTTGGAGGAGACTTCCTGTTGTGAAAAATGGGTCAAGAGGGGACATTGTACATGCTTGCTTAAAAAGATCAGCGCTTTAGGAGCATGTAACAATGCTCAGGCTCACTATGAACATGAGGGTATTACGAGGCTCCTCAGATCCAGAGGCTCAAGCTTTCGTCGACTATTTGCTTCAAGTAGGAAGCGGTACAGAGGGCACGATACAGATTGGGCTTGAAAACGATTACATCAAGCTGCCTGAGCAGTGTATCTTCAGAACTACAGGCCTTGATTCCGAGGAGAAGCAGCTCATTGCGAGCATATATCCGCAGTTGGAACTTATCCTAATTTCTCTCTGAGCTACTGGGAAAGTCGTGCCATTTTATCTGCGCTTAATGAGGATGTCGACAAACTGAATGCTTTAGCAACAGGAATGTTTCCAGGTGGTGACCCAAGAGTCTACTATGGACAGGATTCTATCCCCGATGCTGAGGACCCAATAGCAGCTACTTATACTACGGAATTCCTTAATTCCCTAAATCCTCCTGGAATGCCCTCTAACATTCTGAAGCTAAAGGTCGGGCAGCCCGTCGTCCTCTTGAGGAATATGAGTCCAATGGAGGGTCTCTGTAACGGTACGCGCCTCATTGTGCGTAAACTTGGGAACAAAGTCATCGAAGCTGAAATAATGGCGGGAAAATTTAAGAGCATACGCCACTACATCCCACGGCTCAATATCAGTGCAACTGATGATGGATCATCTCCCGTCATATTTCAGCGGCGCCAGTTTCCCCTAAGACCTGCCTTCGCCAAGGCTCAGGGGCAGACTCTTCAGAATGTTGGCGTATACCTTCCACGACCCGTTTTTGGCCATGGTCATGGGCAGCTTTATGTGGCTCTCTCACGCTGCTCAGACCCCAAGCAGCTGAAGATTCGCATCAAAAATGATTCAAATAATTTTTGTACATACACGAGGAATATTGTGTACCATGAGGTCTTTGG